TAGCCTATGTATTCCCAGTGCCAAAATTCTCAAGTTGGTCCCAATTCCCTCATTGATGGCCCTAATAGTTTGGGGTTTAACATCTAGGTCTGTGATCCAATTGAGTTTATTCTTGTTCATGGAGTGAGATAAGGGTCTTGCTTCATTTTTCTGCAGGTAAATATCCATTTTTTCCAGCACCACTTGTTGAAGAGGGCATCTGCTTCCCATTGGATATTTTGGGGGCCCTTATCGAAGATCAGTTGTCTATATGTTGATGATTTTATTTCTGGGTTTTCATTTCTTTCCATTGGTCTGAGTATCTGTCATTGTACCAATATCACGCGGTTTTGACAACTGTGGCTGTATAGTATGTGATAAAGTCAGGCAAAGCAAGCCCTCCCACAGTGTCCTTCTTCTTGAGGAGTTCACTGCTAATTCTGGGCTTCTTCCCTCTCCATATGAGGTCGGTAATCAGTTTTTCCATTTCTTTGAAGAAAGATGGAGGGTAATTGTATCAGGATTGCATTAAACTTATATAGTGCCTTTGGCAGAACTGCCATCTTGACTATATTGAGTCTTCCAATCCATGAGCATGGGATATTCTTCCATTTGTTGAGATCGCTCTTGGTTTCTTGTAATAGTGTTTGTAGTTTTCCATGTATAGATCTTTTGTTCTTTTAGTCAGGCATATCCCTAGATATTTCAATTTGTGCTTGGCTGTTGTGAAGGGTAACACCTTTTTCATCTCCTCTTCTATGGTCTTATCTGATGTGTATAGCAGTCTGATGGACTTCTGTTTGTTGATCTTGTGTCCTGCAACTCTGCCAAACTCCTCTATTGCTTCCAGTACTCCCCTTGTGGAGCTTTTGGGATTTTCTATATATATAATCGTATCATCTGCAAATAACGATAGTTTCACCTCTTCCTTCCCCATTTGAATACCATTGATGTATTTTCTTTGCCTTATGCTGTTAACTAAAACCTCCAGTACGATGTTAAATAAGAGTGGGGGGGCATTCTTGTCTGCTCCCCCTTTCCATGAAAGGTTTCTAAGTGGAATTTTAGAGACAGACATGTGGACATATGCATGTAGCATAAATGTTCATCTTAGTGAATTTTAAAAACAAGTCCGACCATATGTAAGGTGACCAGACGTCCCGCTTTTGGCGGGACAGTCCCGATTTTAAACAATTTTTCCTTCTTCCCGCGCCGTTTTAAAAGAGTCCCGATTTTTGGAAAGAATGCACGACAATCTAGGGTATATGGTTTATGGCTGCCCTGTGGCTATTTCGCCAGGATATGAGTTTTATCAATGGTGTCCTGCTTTTGTCCCGCTTTACCAATGTTAAAATCTGGTCACCTTAACCATGTGACTACTGTCCAGATCAAGAATTGGCAGATTCCAGTCCCTCTGCCGGCAGTCACTGCCTCTCAGCCTCCCCACCATAAGGAGGAAAGCCATTTCTAACGACACAGATCAGTTCTCTGATGGCTGGATTTCATTTCGCATGTATGCCAGAGTCCTGTTTTGTGCAGCATTTTCACTGCTGTATAATTTTATATTGCATGAATATACTATATTTTGTTTTTTCCATTCTGTCTTTTAATAGATATTTGGACTTTTAAAAAAATCTTTTGGCTATTTTGAGTAAGGCCGCTATTAACATTCTTGTACATGCCATTCTGCCTTATTGGGTCATAGTATAGATATGTCCTGGTGACTTAGTGCTTAAGTGTATGGCTGCAAGGTCAGCAGTTCAAAATCACCAGCCACTCCTTGGGAGCAGGACAGGGCTTTCTACTCCCATAAAGAGTTACTGTTTCATATTTATTTGTTAAGTATTAAGGCAGCAGGCGGACATTGGGCCTCTACTTAAGTAGTCCCTCAACGCAAGAACAGTTTGTTCTAATAATCTGGCATTCTGTGATGCTCACCATCCTTGACACGATCGCTGAAGACAAAATGGGTGAACAAGCAAACATTGTGAAGGAAGCTGATGGTGCCCAGTTACCAAAAGATATAGCGTCTGGGGTCTTAAAGGCTTGAAGATAAACAAGCGGCCATCTAGCTGAGAAGCAACGAAGTCCACATAGAAGAAGCACACCAGCCTGTGTGATCATGAGGTTTCGATGGGATCAGGTATCAGGCATCAAATACCCAAAACAAAAAATCATATCAATGTGAATGAAGGGGAGTGTGGAGTGGAGACCCGAAGCTCCTTACAGAAGGGTCACAAGGAAGAGATGAGCCAGTCAGGGTGCGGTATAGCACCAATGAAACATACAACTCTCCCCTAGTTCTTGAATGCTTCCCCCTCCCCACCCCCCTCAACATCATGACACCAATTCTACTTTACAAATCCGGCTAGACCAGAGCATGTACTTGGGTACAGATCAGAGCTGGAAACACAGGGAATCCAGGTCAGATAAACCCCTCAGGACCAATAATGAGAATAGTGATACCAGGAGGGTAAGGGAAGGTGGGGGAATAAGGGAACCAAACACAATGAATGACATATAACCCCTCTCAGGGGGACGGACAACAGAAAAGTGAGTGACAGGAGGCAGCGGTTGGTGTAAGATATGAAAAAAAATTCATAAATTATGAAGGGTTCATGAGGGAGGGTTGGTGAGGGAGGGTTGGTGAGAGAGGGAAAAGGAGCTGATACCAAGGGCTCAAGTAGAAAGAAAATGTTCTGAAAATGATGATGGCAACATATGTACAAGTGCTTGACACAATGGATGTATGTATGGATTATGATGAGTTGCAAGAGACCCCAATAAAATGACTTAGGAAAAAAAAAAAAAGCACTATCAGAAGCTCACAGGGGCAGTTCTACCCGGTCCTACAAGGTTGCTATCGACTTGATGACAGAGTGAGTATATTCTTAGTGATAGCAGATTCTTCAGGTTTTTCCAGCGTCTGTCTGTACACTCCACACCATGTGCGAGGACTCTAATTGTTCTATATCCTCAGCAACTCTTGGCCTAGTAAGTATTTAGAATTTTTTTCCAAAGCTCCATTTCTTTTTAACCTACTCATTTACTTTTCAGTGTAAGACACCCACACTATAATTCTCAGGTTATCTTTATCAAAATGTTGTCATCTCCAGTCTCTATTTTAAGTGTTGTTTTGCCATCGTCAATGTGAATTGAGGAAGAAGCTCCCAGAGAGAAACCCTGGGTTTCTGGAGTGCTCACGGCTCTGGAGTAGAGCTCTTGATCTTCTGCCAAGAAGCACCCAGTCTGTTACTCACGTTGGGGCAGTGCGGGGACTGTCCTACATCAGGAAAGCTTCCCTATAGCCTGGGCTGGCCGAAGTCAAGTGTTTTCCATATTTTCTTCTTCCTCGCATTTGAAGGTCACAAAAGGCCCAATCATTTCCATGAATAAAGGGATAAGGGGAGAGCATCAGATGCATCTAGCTGCCAAGGAAGGATTCAGATCATGTTTCATGTACCATTTTCCCCAAGGCAAGAACCAAAGAAATATTCCTTTTTTATGTGTCAAAACTTTATTAATAAGAAGAGTATGAATTATAAAGAAGGAAATGTCCATAAACCTTTTAAAAAGTAGTAATTAAAGTTGTTTCACTTAATAATAAGCATGACTTGGGAACTTTGTGGATCCTGTCTCAGTTTCTTGGGACCTAGAAGGGATGACGAATGGAAGATTCTAGAAACAGACTCTAGATCTATTAGAGAAGAGTGGAAAGGGAATAGCATCTAGGTGGGGTTTTCCTTTTCTTTTGTTAGTTGCCTCCTGAAGTGGATTTAACTAAAGCAAAGCGACAAGATTTTGAACCATCTGTGGAACAGGCGAGGTATAGCAGCTGCCAACAGAACATGGCTCTGGTAGCCCTCAGACCACAGGAGGTGACCTCCCCTTGCAGACCAAGCCACAGTGTGATACAGGGGGAGAAGGACAGCAGTTCCAGGTAAGGGGCCCAAGTTCCCTGCCTCTCCTTTGCCCTGCTCACATGGTGTAGGGTGCCTGGTTTCTTGTCTGCAGAACCAGCTAATTGGTTTGTTTGCTCCCTCTATCCCACCTGGTGTCTCTCCTGATCCAGGATCCTGGCCTCTTCTATTACGGATGATGCCACATGCCAGAGGAAGCGCCGGCAACAGCAGCTACAACAGCAGTTCCGGGAGCAGATGGAGAAACAGCAGGAAGGTCACATACCTCCCCTCCCAGTTGGAAAGGCAGGGTATATGAGGAGGAGGGGAAGTGCAGTCTGAAGATGGAGGCTGAGCGGATGGAGTAATCTGCGCCTCTGCCAGTAACACTGGCCAGGTCCAGACCAAACTGCTTTAGGGTTTTTCGGATTACATGCACAACAGAAGAATTCGAGAAAATGTATGCAGTGAAAACCTGTCATGCATCTTTCCACTTAAGAAGACACTAATCTTTTTTGTTGGCGCAGTGGGCCATCACAAAATCTTCCAGAATTCGAAATTCGGGGCTATAGAACTTTCTTCTTCAGATATTTGGCTATTTTTGCCTGTTTGCTTCTGAGCAACCTTTAGATATCTATAAAGTGCAATTGGGTTTGGAGAAGGTAGGGGCTTTTGGCAGGTTGAGTTCAGCTTCAGAGGGAATACTTAAGTAACTAATTTTGGGGAGTAAAAATAGGCAGGACTTGTCCTGTCCAGGTGTGCTTCCCCCCCCCAAAGAATTACTAAACTCTTCCTGCAAGAGGAGAATTAGACCTAATCTCTGAAATGAGAGTTATGTGATTGTGATTTGCCCTCTCTGGGGTCAGCTGTCGCAGAGCTGCCAGCACCTCCTCTGAAGCATAGCACTCCTGGAACCGCTGCTCCAGAACTGCCACCTGAGGACGACTCCCTCCTCGGTTAGTAACTGATGAAAAGCTGCTCAAACTTTAATAGTCACAGAATACATTTGAAAAGGGGCATAAAAAAAATCCCACGTGTCATGTTTTCTATAGCCCTGTGGGAGTCCTTGTGGCATAGTGGATTCCACAGGGTCAGCAGTTCAAACCCACCAGCTGCACTGGCAGGGAGATGAGGCTTTCTACTCCCATGAAGAGTTAGGCTTGGAAACCCACGGGAGCAGTTCTACTATCTTAGAGGGTCGCTGAGTCAGAATCGACTGATGGTAGTGAATTTGGCTTTGGTTTATAGCCCAGAGTTGAGGAAGATTAAGAATTTTATAGTAGCTAGGACATTTCATGCTCCTTGATTGTTCTAACCTAGGAAAGCTTGTTACTTTTGAAAAATTATCATAGGATGCTTAAGGCATAGAATTTATAACCATTTTTTCTATTGCTTCATGTTCTGGGGATGCTGTACTTGTCTGATTTCTATCCTTGCAGACAACCTTGAATTATGGGATTTGACTCCAGATTTAGAAGACATTATCAAACCCCTGCCTGAACCAGAGCCACCCCAGACAGCTGCCACATCAGCCCCGAAGAACCGCATGGTGACGCGGAACCGAATTCCAGACAGACTTTGCCTCCAGAAGCAACAATCAGAACCTGGGCCTTCTCATCCCCAAACACACAACCCTAACCAACACCCAAAAGGTGACAGGAAAGTGGCTCAGATAAACATTGAAGGGGGGGAGCGGGGGCAACCTTGATTTCATTCTGTAAATTTTAAAGGAATGGCATTGCATTTTTGAGTAGTTGGATGGAATCATTCCAAGGGAATAAGCAGTGTAAGTGGAAGGTAATGAATTAAGAGCCAGAACTACTCCTTTGAGGCTCTGACTTTAAATCCGATTCCTTTTTAGTCCATGATACTAACAGGAAGCACTTGCATGACTGTAAGGAGGGTTTCGCCATACTAAAAGTAGGTCCATCAGGGCGCACTACTGTAACTTGGTCTAAGGTCGACAGCAGATCTACCCTCACCAAAACAATAACTCACTGTTTCATTCCTGGGTTCTTAGTCTAAGTTAGGATATAATTTAAATAAGAAATGATTGTCCATTTAGTTCTTGTTTTAAGAGCATATTCTAACCACTTTATCTTCACAGGAGATTGTGATTCTTTTAGGAAGAACCAGGACATGAAGAAAAGGAAATTGGATCCAACTTAGCGGAGGCTGAAGTTACTGGCCTCTGTCATCTTGGAAACATACCTTTTGGTCATGAAATTACTCATCATTCCTAGGGAATGAGCTTTATTTTTAAGGATTTACCTTACTTGGCTCTGACTTTTCCAGAGGAAGACTTGACTTTGGGAAGCTCTGGACAGGAGAAAATATTTTCTATCAGGCAACTGAGGATTTTTACAATTTATTCTAAGCTATGATCATAATAAAGATAGAAATGGTAGGAATCACTATCGGCCGACTGCCCCGCAAGCAATACAGGCCATGCTACTAAGCACTTGCTTTAACAACGATCTACATTAAATGACTGAAGGTTCTCTACCGGCTTAAAAAGTCTTCCAGGAGCCTGGAGCATCATGCCAAGAACAAGCTACTCATCTAAACTCATCTCTCATCTTTTGTTTTATGAAATCCCTACCCTGCATTCTTTCAAGGCCAGCATTTTAAAAAAATAAAAACCAATGGAATGGGCAGTTGCCGTCCAGCCTTCCGAGTCCCTGTCTGCCAACACCATGCGAATGGCCTCCCCAAACCGCGACCCAGCCGCAGCCAGTGTCGTAGCCGCCTGAAAAGGAGCTGAGCCCAGCAGGGGTGCAGCCCGGGGTTCTGTGGGCAAGAGGCTACAACAGGAGCTGATGACCCTCATGATGTCTGGCGACAAAGGAATCTCTGCCTTCCCGGAATCAGACCTTTTCAAGTGGATAGGGACCATCCACGGAGCAGTTGGTACGGTCTATGAAGACCTGAGGTATAAGCTCTCCCTGGAGTTCCCCAGTGGTTACCCTTACAATGCACCCACAGTGAAGTTCCTCACCCCCTGCTACCACCCCAACGTGGACACTCAGGGTAACATCTGCCTGGACATCCTAAAGGACAAGGGGGTCTGCCCTGTACGACGTCAGGACGATTCTCCTCTCCATCCAGCCTGCTGGGAGAGCCCAACATCGACAGCCCTTTGAACACACATGCTGCCGAACTCTGGAAAACCCCACAGCCTTTAAGCAACACCTGCAGGAAACCTACTCAAAGCAAGTCTCCAGCCAAGAGCCCTGACCCTCCCTGTCCTTGTGTTGTGTTGTCTTCTCTTCCTAGATGTCTGTCCTCCCTCCCCTCCCCCTTGATTTCTGTGTAGAACGCTTATCTTAAGCTGTGGTGTCATTCCTGTTTTGTTTGTTTTTAAATTAAGTCTCCATTTGCACCCTTGTGATGATTATATTAAATAAATAACATTTGGGGTTGAAAAACAAAACAAAACACAAACAAACAAACCCAATGGAATGATCTAAGAACAATGGAAGCAGTATTTTGGGAAAGTACAAGAAATCTTTTTTCTTTCTAATAGAAAATATAGTAGCTGCCTATATTCCTCATTCTGATGTGAGCTACAGCCCTCCTTCACAAATTGGTTTCCCAGGATATTTAGATTCTTAATTCTTTCCCTCAAATGACTGCTTCGCAGATATTAACTTTGCAGGTGCATTTGGGACCACGCCTTTAATCTTAAAAAACATTTTTTGGCTCTCAGACCTATTTGTGGGAGCTGTGCACCCAAGGTGAGGCAGTCTCAGAAGGTACCCTTCCTTAGGAATGTGAAAGCGGCAATGGCTTGCCCCAGTTTCATCATATTTTGAGACCTTTGACTGTACCTCTTGTTGCAGGGGTTTGGTTATACTTTTGCTTACATGTCTATATTACTTTACCCCACAGGAAAATCACCCTTGTCGTCCTGTCCATAACGTAATGCTAGTTCAGGATAGAATTGTTGCTAAAAACAAAAAATGAACCAGGAGTCCAAATGTAAATGGAATACAACTTAAAATAGAGGTGCTGACAACATGTAAGAGTAATTTGCTAGAAATTAAACCACACAGCTCAACAAAAGCAAGTTTGGTTTATTTGAATGGTTTCATTAAATAAGTCTACAAAGGTAACAAACTGAAGCACAAAGCGCAATCTTACAAGAAGCGCAACACCCAGAGTTAGTGCAAAATGTACAATTAACGGCTGCTGAGAAACCCCCAAGGTTTGAATTAATTTTATTTGTGTTTTTTTAAACAGTGTACATTGTTAAATAATGTAAGGAAAACATTTATAATTCAGAAGATTTTTTTAATGTGGAAAAAGATACTCAAAAGTGTACTATTAACACAGAAATAATTTAAACAGTTCAGTAGCACTAGTTCATTCCTCTAGGCTTGTTATTTCATCCACAGGAGGGAAAAAAAATAAATCAACAGTAAATAAAGCCAGTTCTTTTTGTATGTGAGATTTCAAAATCATTAATACCAAAGTAATGAAACAACAATGTGCTGCATTTGGCTCCCTCGTCGCTCTGGTGGAAAGCACCCTTGTGGGTGGTTCGTTTCTCACTTACGTGGCACCTTTTTTGTTCCAGCCTTACTCTTATCCCCTCCCCAAAAATTATAATCAGAGAATAAGCAATTTAAAAAGGAGGGCTTGAAACCCCATGCACGCTTCATAATCACTTTCCCTAAAACCTTCTCTGAGGCCTTAAAACAGGGCCCTCTCAAGGGACAAGCAGGATCCAGATAGCCACCAGGCTCTTCCTGTCTGTGGTGATTCCTGGGATGTGCCACTGAGGTGGGTGAGAGATTGGAAACACATTAATTTCCAAACTAAGTCAAGAGAAGCTCCCGAAAGGAAGAGTCCTAGCTGCTTTCTCCATCTTCAGAGACAAGAAAGATCCCAATGGATAGCCAATTGGGAGTACTTTCGGAAAGCTTCTGTAAATAATAGAACTTCCCATCACTAAGACAACACACTAAATAATACTGGTTGGTTGCAGTTATAGGGGCGGATTTGTGTACATGAAAATGTGAGAATATCAGTTGCAATTCCAGGAATATTTAAGGTGGCATGATAGATTATAAAACTGCAACCATTTGGGCATCATATAAGAAATGGGTAGGAATAAACATTCTTTCTGACAACTCTTTAATTCAAATGTGGGTCTACTTTCCACAGAAGGATAGTACCCCAAGCTGAGAAATGCATGGTACATGTGCAATAACAGGTAAGCAAGCCAAACTTTTTTAAAGAGCAACTTTCTCCACCTGTGACTTCACTGTCACGTTTCCCAACTTAAACCGGCCTCGACCCCTTCATGTTCAGCCATTTCTAGGTTTCTGATCTGTTTAAACCCAACTCAAGTCAGTAAGGCATATGGCAGTCACTGGCCAGGCATCATGAAGTTCCAAAACCAGTGTGTTCTCCCTTTCTCTAGCCTTTCCTTTTCTATCACTTAGCACACATCACCTCTTACCTTTTCAATTGCCCCATTTTGTTTTAACATCTGTCCTTGCTGTCCCCCAAACAGAACTTTCTGCTTTCAACCATTGATGTCAACTTGACTTCTCACCCTACTCATCTTACACCTGCTCTAGACAAAATTATTGGATGACTTTAAAAAACAAAACAGAAAACTCGCAATTTCCCTTTGGCATATCCACTGCTGGGGTCACTTGGACCTAAGATTTCCTTCCACATGCCCTCTGCTGATCTGGGGTCTGATGAGAAATTGATACTAATGGCAGAAGCAGTAGAAGTCCAAGGCACTAAAATATCCAGCAAGCAATACTGGGAGAACAGAAGTATTCAAGTACAGTAATTTATACAATTTTACATTCACATTTATTTATCTAATACAATGGAAATACAAAGGAAAAAGTTAAAGTGTCTCAATAAGTAAAGGACAGAGCTAGCTTTTTTGAACTTTTTAAATCTTTCATATTTTACTCTTAAAACTACTGTTGTCCAACAACATTTATATATCACAGTGTTTCCACATCAAAACTGATGGCAAAGATACATGTTCGCAGGGAACGTAATCTTTTTTTCCTAATTGCTGATGCTGCAGTCAAAGCTGCTAATATCTTTTGCTTAAAGCACTAATGACCTATTTTAAGAAAGAGTGGCAATCCCAGTTCTCTGGTGTTTTCACTGGGTTCCAGAGTTAAATAAAAAAAAAAGAAAAAAGGCAGGGGGTGGGGGAAGGCAGGGTAGGAAAGAGCCCAGTAGTTTTTTTTGCTGTGTGAACTAGAGTCTTGAAGGAGTAAAGGATTTGGGATGGTACCAAATTAAGAGCTCCAGTGACTTGAAAATACAAGGGGGCCTGGTTTTACATTGAGCTCTCTAGCAGTTTCCTGCTAAGTCCAATTCTCTGCTCTAGCCCTCACTTGTTAAGTACAGAGAAACAAGAAAGCATAGTCTGAAGCTGTCCCACTGCAAGAAAGCTGCTCTTCTTGTCCCACTCCAATAAATGATGGAGGGGAGAGGGAGAGTCTCCCTTTTGAGGGCTCAAAGCTGTAATAAAAACATTCCCTTCTGGCAAGAAATAACCAGTTAAATGCAGCACTAGTAGTTAGTATATAGGCTACTCTCCCACCCTCCCCCCACCCACCCCCATTCCATCTCCTGCCCTCGAATGTACGCATTTAATGTCTCTAGGTCTAAGTGGTCCGCAGGTTGGAACCTGGGGGGTTGCTGATGGATTTTTGTAAATTGCTGATGTTGAAATTTTGTGAGGCAGTTCCTACAGGCTGGAACTGGCCAAGTGGCTGTGGTGCTGGGCCACCGGTCCCACTCCATTGGGTACCAAAGGGGGCAGCTGGAAAACCATACTGCTGTGGGGGGCACATAGATTTGGTGAAGTGACCTAGAGAGGTAGCTGATGCTGCTGAGATGGGGGCAGAGCCACCCAGGTTTGAGGTCATGGAGATGCACAACTGACCAGGTGCAGAAAACTTTCTTGCCATTCCAGGGCCCTGAAAAGAAAATAAGTATATGTAAAGTTTGGTGTGCTAGGGAGGGGTTTTAACACCAATGGGTGTATAGTAAGTAGCACTAAAATAGAGTTCTAGAACTAAACCGGTTCTGATCTTAAAAGGTATAGCAGAACAAAATCCTCCACAATTATTCACTCTTTATACTTACCTGGGAGAGGTGAAAATTACTAAGCAACTAGAGATGAGAGCAACTACTCTGACTGAAATGAGAGGAGTGTGCGTGCCCCGAGCACACAGATCAAGGTCTTAAAGGAATAGGGAACTAGGGGTAGACAGAAGCTTAAATAAAAAGGTCATTTCTCCTAAACACGGAGTCAACTCATACGTGACCCTACAGGAGCTGCCTCTGAGTCTCCAAAGATATCATTCTTTACGGGGGCAGAAAGCCTCATCTTTCTCCCACAGAGTGGCTGGTTTCAAATAGTTCAGTGCGTAATTCACTCTGCCACCAGGACTCCTAACGCTAGGTTTACGGATATTTCTTATATACCCACGTCTACAGACATGCGTCTGACACATGAACTAAACCACACATTTCCTTAAAAAACTTACTTAAAAACAAGTATACATTATTAATTTATAAATCAAACTGTGATATTATATATTTGTAATTTTTACTTTATTTTGCTACAAGTGTTAAAAGTTATGTACTACTAAAAGTGATTAGCACAAAATATTAAGTATCAGCCTGGGTAATTTTATTTTGCCTGATTCAGATGTATGCAATGTGATATTCTGCTAGGAAAATGGCAAAAAGGGCAGACATACCTCATAATTCATATGCCCTTTGCTTCCTCTCCTGCCTGAAAGATTCATGGCATCACGGGCCCAATTATCTACCAACTTGTGCAGATCATCTGTGAACGTGCCCTTTCTACTCGACGTGATGGCAGGAGGCTGAGCTTGCGGAGCTTGGCTCTTCACTGCTCCCCCGACAGTGTTTGTACTGCTGGTCCCTGGAGTTGTAAGAAGCAATAATATAAGCATTAAAAGGAGGCTGCATTATCATTTCAAGAAGGAAAACTTTAGGATGATGGATGGCAAGCCAAAGAATGGGAAGAGAATGAATTAGGAAGCCATGCAAGTAAGAAAGATTCCAAGGTTTTGCTTAGCAATTTACTTGGACATAAAAGGGCAAGGGAAATGGATTCTCTTCAGGAGGTGTCCATAGGGGTGAGCAACTCAGTATGATGGTAGGCACAAGGAGCAGGGCCCTCCTTCAGCTCACAGAGCATCTTAAAGTACTGGTACTGATTGCCAGGACTTTCTCAGCATCAGGCTGCTGAGGGAGATGAGTTAGTAAAATTAATGAGGCAGTTGCTCTGGATTTTTTGGGTAGCATTCAGGGCAAAAGAGGATTTCTTGTGTATCGGGCAGGGTTAAAGTAGGAGCAAAAGAAATGCAAACACAGATGCTTGGCCCAGAAGAAGGTGGGGTTCCTAAACCATGTGGACACTGCCACATTCTGTAGCCATTTCTTAATAATAAAAAGTGATTAAGAGAAGTAGCAGCATGGTTGTTCAAAAAGGTTTCTTTATCGGGAGCCATACACATGAATTTTTCAACATACTCTTCAGAGAAAAACTTTTAACACTCTCTAGTTTCCCCCGGAAGATAGGGTTTTCCTGAAGATGACCTCAGTTTCAAATGGTTCATGGATTCTCACTCCTTTACCCCACGCTTCCTGGAGCAGCAAGCACTCCCAGGTAGAAGCAGGAACATTCAGCTGAGGCAGGGGTGCATGGGGTGGGGTTGGTGGTGGGCAGGTGGGAGTGGGGAAAGAGGAGAGAGGAAGCTATGATGAAGTTATTCTATTCCTGTGGTTTGATGACAAAGAAGGAGTCTGTGTCCTGCCTGATTTCGGCTCTGCTGGAGGGCACACTGAAGATTATTCGAAGAGGCAAGAATTAGGGAAGAGGGAGAGAAGAGTCACAGTCTTGTTTTCCCCCCACCTGCACACTCTTCCTTACCCATCCCACAAGTGCTGCAAAGTAACACAAAAGCTGACAGAGTTAAGTGGTGAGCCAACAGGCCTTCAGTCACACAGCAGCACTGGGTGCTAAATAAGTGCATGTTTTCCGGCTTTTCAGGTCAAAGCAGCACCCAAGCACAAAAGCACACCTGAAGCCACTGTACCATCTAAAAGCCCTTTGCTGGTCTTAAATCCAATTTATAACCTGCCCTCAGCAGGAAGCGGCACAAACACGCATGCCTGTGTTAGAGGAAGAGCTAATTCTGAGGTGCAGAGTAAGGAGGGTCACATGCTTCTTACCACCATGGCAAGATAGGGAACTACTGTAGGTGAGCACTACCTCACTCCTTAGTGCCTGCTGGAGGCACAGGGGGATAGCTAGTGCATAGACAGTGGAAGGGAACTAGTGAAGTTCCCTAAAGTATAGAAAACCATCCTGGAAAAGTGAAAAAGCACAGGAAACAGCCTTCCTCAAATAGCAAATGTGAGTTAGCATGACATGGGAAGGACAGGCAGTGAGGATGGGCAGCCAGGAAAGTGAGGACATTCAGAAAGCAGGCATATCGCATGCAGGAAGACTGTCATCCTGTCGGAATGATTACTGCTTAGTAAGCTTGTTGATAGTGAGACAATTAAAATGCAAAGACAGAAATTGTCCTAAGTGTGAGCAGAGCTGAATAAAGCCAAGTACAAGCAGCAGCTCAGCTCAGCTCATTCACAGCGGGCTCATACTGGGAGTCACACCTCTCTAGTCCAATGCTAGTTTCCCCTTTATAACTTAATGCCACCTCAACTTTTGTTTTACTCTGTGAGACTAGATTCTGAAAGGGAGGCTTATGTCAGGAGAGAGAGGCAAGCACACAGCTGATCTTATTCTGGCTTCAGAAAACAGGCTACCTTGTTAATGAAGGGCATAAACAGACTGCTTTCTGACCAGAAATCAACATCTGGGAAAAGAAGACCTCTTTATAAAGTTACACGAGAGGCTTGGCTTTCCACAGCGTAAGGGTTAACCATGGTTCTACTGAAAAGTAGCAAATACTTTATGCCCACATTCACTTTTTAATTCCCTCCTGCTATGCTATACTTCCAGACTCCAGTAACAAAAAATTCGCTATGAACCACAACTCACTGCTCAGAATCCCGAATACAGAGTGTTCTTGTTGCCCCTACCTCTAACCATGGAGGTCTTGAACTGCCTGCATTTTAAGATGCCAGCTCTACAAATACAAAGTAGTGTTTCTCCACCAATCTCACAGATAGCTCCTATAATGATACAAACTCGCTAAAGGCATGGACTTTGTATGCTTCGATCATGGCTCATTTTACCAATGCCTGGCATCTACATGCCTCTTCTGTGTCCCCCACCACCACCCAGGAGCTAGAGATCTCCCTATACATATCCATGGGCATTACCAAGCCCTGCCACTCCCAGAGGTAGCCTCACAGGGGCCATCATGGAGAGCATCGACTATGAGGTGAATTCTCAGTCTGAAAGGGTAGCTAGTAAGTGAGCCAATTAAGCATGTTAAAGAAAGTATTAGAAAAGGTGCATAGATTAACAGATGGAAATTACGAATCAGGCATATGTGAGACTTTAGGACTCAAAGAACTTATGGATAACAGGCTTTGCAATCAAGGATCAAAAGTAACAGAACGAAAAGATAATTACTACAGAGCTGGTTGCAAGGACAGACTTTTTTCACCATCTTCCCTGAAGCACAAAGAGAGAGCAATGTGTTAAAGATAAAGAAACATCGGTGTAAAATATTTAGAATCTCCAAACAGCACACAAATGCCCAGCAAGAGAAACAGGAGGGGAGGCAGATTGGTAGGACATAATCAACCTCATCACACACACAGTTCTACGGGATGAGGCTGACCAGCTTAGCCCCAACATGGTAGCTTAGTGCTTGGCTGACACGGGTCGAGCTCCCACATTCAGTCTTTGTATGGGAAAGAATAATGCCCTGCACGAGGGACAGAGGTAGGGAAGGGGAGGAAATCTAGCCTCTCAGGACTCACTGCCTGAATTTCAAACACCCAAACAGTTTTTCCACTGACCCTGTCTCACTTTCTGTTTCTCCTGCTGGGTTGTTAAAAAGTACTCAAATGAATTAGCAATCCTACCACAGTAGGCGGTTACAGTTTTAAGTTAATTTGGCGCTTATATTTCCCATACTAGGTAGACATACATACATACTTTCCCGAAAAATCTCTTAAAAGGAATCAAGCAATCTCTGAACACAAGAAAAGGATTAAGCTAAGCTGTGCTACCAAACAGTATCTATTTTGAGAGCACAGAATAATGCAATGAAGTCCAGTAAGATACCCCTGTAAGTACTTATTTTCTTTCCATGTTTCCTTTAAGTCTGTCTCTTGGGATTTGTTCATAGAGGCTTACATAATGTATACTGATGTTTCTTCAAGAGATAAAGGGCTTCTCATTTTAGACCAAAAGGAAGTTCTAATATTGAAATAATGGCAACCACAGCCTATGATTCTCTTTCAGGTAAATGGGTCTAATTGTAGGAGGCAGCAAGTAAATTAGAAAAAGCATGAGCTTTTCTGTCAAAGTAGCACAGCCTCACTAATTATACCTAAATGACTTAATCTTTCTAGTAATGTTCATTTCTACCTTATAGAGTGTCACATGAATTTATTGAGTTAATAAATGTAAAGTGGTACCTTCACTAAGAAACCTTTTCTTTCTTCTCTCTCTGTTATGTCAGGCTATGGAACCGGAATGAAACATTCTACTTCTAAATGGCCACCTCTCACTATGAATATCCTTTCATCTTTCTAGCTGGACATGCACATTACATGCTTATTCAAAAGCAAGTAGTAGTATGCTTAGTCCAGGTGAGCCTGTCAGAAAACCTACCGTTTTAAGTCCTCAAAAAATCACACAAGCTTGAAAAACTAATCCACTGTACCAACTTAAAAACAAAACTCCCACCCCTTGTTTTGTTAAATGGTCCTGAAATAGTAATATGTGGGAGAAGGCATCAAAAACCCTCTCTCTAGTGGAGCCAACCCATTACTGATTCAGGGTTAAAACACAAAAACAAAAGTACCAGAAGTATTACATGTGGAGAATGGAAATTCAATGTAATACATAAAGGCATATCTTTCTTTTAAAATTTGGTCACTGTAGAGAACAAAGGAGAGGTAAATAGTCTTCCCACCAAAGAGGCCCAAAAACCTCTGAACCATACTCCAAAACCGTGACTGCCTTAGTACATGCATTTAAAAAGCACTTCAATAACCACATCAGAAGTTTGAGGCCTTATCAGAGATCTTTATCCAAATTCTACCAAGTTTTCTACCTGAGCCTTGAGTATTTAAAAAAAAAAAGAACCAACAGACATTTATTGGTTACTAAATGATTATTTGCTGGTTGTTAAGGTATGATATTAAAAGTGCTACATGCCAGGTAAGCAGAGAGGACCTGTGAGTGCTGTCCAAGTGCTACATAAGCTGATTTGATCTGTATAGTAGCCCTTCGAGATAGGCATCTTCTACATTTCACATGTGAGAGGGAGAGGAAGGTGAGAGACATTGGGTGGCTTGGTAGCGAGCCTTGTTTTTAATGAGAGCACTGAGGAATCTCAGCAATTATGCTAAAATTTTCTATGTGTGGGTGCTGGGCTTTGGTTTCTAATAGAATAAACTGTGGTTTTCAGAATAAAGTATTCTGAAAACTGTGGCTATCAGAATAACCACACTGAAAATTGTATTTGGAATTATAGACTTTATGGGGATCGAAGGTAATGGTGGTGGGAGTAGTCAATGGAGAGTCTAGCATTTTTCCAACTGGTAGATACTTGGGCTTAACTGAAGAAAGGAAAAAAGGATGTGTGTGCCGGTGTTTGATTTACTCTGATAGAGAACGATGGAAAAGTACGGTGTATCTTTTACCTGTTGCTGTGAACTAAAAGCATCAGCAGTCATAATGCTTTCTGTCACTTCCAATGCTAGACTGAGGCCTGACTGAACATGATCGCAATTTGGCCTTCAGTACTCTAAATGACCCAGTAGTCTGCAGTCTTGATACCACATCTATTCTCTGTCAAAGATTTATGGGGGGGAAAAATTTACAGAATTTATATTGAAGTTTATAGAAACCTACATCTGTTACCATAATTAACACGAGGACCCAAACTTCTGAGGGTAACAGTTCAGCCAAGCCATTGAATAGATGATATACAAAGAGACAAATGAAAATGGACTGCATGAAACATCAGATTCAAGCAGCAGAAAAACAAGGACGAGGAAGGAGTAAAGGTGTTACACACAAAGAGCCAAGCAGGGCGTACTCAGAAATCGGGTCCTCCTGCCACCAGGTTTGAATGTCACCTGCTCAGATGCACAGTTAAACTTCGCACAGCCTGTGAGAAGGGGGAAAACAGGGAAGAACAGAGAGAGGAGAAGAGACAGAACACAACTACAAGATGTTAGAAACTTGAGGCTGGAGTGGTGAAATGCACTAAGATGGCACACAGAAGAGTAAGCTTCTGGAGGAAGGGCAGATACGCAGCACAGGAAATACTAGGGCTCAATTCCTTCCAACTGCAGAATAGCGAAGCTTTTTTTCATTGAAATAACGCAACCAAGTCTGTGCTCCTTACCACGCAGGTCTATCCATCGTGTGAAGAGACAGTCTCAACTCTAACTGCTATGATTTTGTAGCAAAGGAAGCTAAACGAGTTATCTATATTTGCTTTATTTCTTTTTTACCCCGACACCTAAGCACTTTCTAATTCTCATTCCAATGTTACTTTCCACTGAAGGAAGGTTTTGCTTTCTAATTTAATTAGAAAAACCACTTGGCATATATATTATGGCTAAGAAATTAAATTGTACAGCTTTCTACCTATACATTGCTATTCATTAGTTAGGTAAATGCATTGGCTTTCAGAAATTGTTAAGCTCCTTAGAATTTGGGATGGGAAATCTCGATCTAATTTCAAAACATATATTCCAAATCCCAAATGAACTACCAGATATACTTGTGTATAAGCCATTTTCCAGCACATTAAAAATAATTTTTATCTGTGAAATCATTTTATTGGGGGTTCATACAACTCTTATCACAATCCATTGTCAGCAGCATATTTTTAGTACAGTTTTTGTGGTACAATTAGGTGCCTCGGGTGTTATTCGGGTCGGTTTATACTCAAGTATACATGGTTATCATTTGAGCAAGTTCCCATATAGACCCCCACCTGTTTTCCCAGCCCATCTTAACAATAGGTTATTATTCAGCAGGCTTTTTGTCCTAGGTCTGGCATTCTCTCCATTGCAATGATTTTGGAAAATAATGCTTGCTTTGACTTCTTACCTTGACCTGGAGCAGAAAGACTTGGTACAGAAATGGCACCATCACTGGTGAAGGCAGAATAGAGGTTGTCACTGGAGGGAGATGGCTTAAGGGGCTGTAACAGCTGATTCTGCCCAGTTTCTGGGATGTTGCCAGGAGGGTGGAGGGTCTGCTGGGCATGCAAGCCTGAAGCTGTACTCTGAGCAGACAGGTTACCTGTCAAAAGATAAAGTGCCATGAAGAAACAAGTACCCTTTCCAAATGTACCTAATAAAGCACTATTCTTTTTCCTTTAATTAGTCTGAGTGTCTAATGTTGGGTAAAAAGCTGTAACAGATTATCAATTGATGTATGGATTGTTATAAGAGCTATAAGAGCAACCAATAAAATGGTATATTAAAGTTAAAAAAAACAAACCTTAAAAATCTGTAATTCATTAAGGAACAAAGGTCTCACTGACGAGTGGATATAAGGACTGACATGAGAATCAATAGCAACAGGCCTGAGAATATTGCTTCATATAAAACTATCCCCTAACTTCTTGAGTTTCAGATAACCTAGATGGGTACAAGACCTATTTAAAAAGCCTCATATGCATGTGAAAGTTGATGAATGATTAAGAAAGACTGAAAAAGAATGGATGCATTTGAACTATGGTGTTGAAAGAGTGCCTAAAGAACAATGGATCTGTTTTGGAAGAAATACTGGCAGAATGCTCCTTTGAGAGGATGGTGAGACTTAGGCTCATGTACTTTGGACACGATATCAAGAGACCAGTTGCTGGAGAAGAACATCATACTTGTTAAACGGAGGGGGAGCAAAAAAGAGAAAGGCCTTTGACAAGATGGACTGACACAGTGGCTGCAACAATGGGCTCAAATCTAAGAATATTTGTGAGGATGGCACAGGACCGGGTGGTGTTTCAATTTGTTGTATATAGGGAACCGACTAGTCGGCACCAAACAACAGATGATTTGACCTATGTGGAAGTCACATATGTCCTAGTCTACACTAACTCTAAAATATACAGTAGATACAACAGGATTCCTTTTTCCAACTCCATGATTGCTTTCCCCCTATTGGAAAGGATGTTGGGTCATAGTATAAAGGTATTAGTCAGATTTTCTTGTAAGCATCCATCAGGTCCTATACAAACCCACCCATTGCCATCAAAATTACTTGTAGTAGATGACTTTCAATTACTAAACCACTTATACTGAAAATGACTTAATTTCTCTGGCTCCTTACTAAATGAGTGAAAATCCTTAAAAAAAAAAAAAAACCAGAGACAGGAAACTGGAATAGAAATCTAAGTTAGTTGACATTCTTTCTAATCCCATTTCTACAAATGGGTTGCATGAATTGGCCATAGTGTACTAAGAAAGAAAAGGTGTGAGCATCTCTTAAAGTTTCTATCAAATGTAGAGTAGCTTAGCAGCTTGCAACTGCTTTCCAATAAATTAATAATAGATCTGAAGAAGAAATAAGAGATATAAACTTATTTCACCCTTCTGATATTTTTCAACTAATAGTCTGTTAAGGTTACATTAATTTCACAAAATGTTCACGAGCAATCACCATATCTTTCCATTCCATCTTCCCATGAACCTTTTGAAGTCCCTAACATCTATCACAATCAAAATAGCCACAATATCATCTTACACAAGATTATGATTGAATTATTATTTTTTGATCACTCATAAATTCTCTACTCCAATATACATCAATGAAGTACTCTTAATCAAGGAAGTTACTATTCTGACACTCCAATATCTAAGACATGTACATTTACTTCAGCTGCACTTATACCCAACCAATTCATGGAAAAAGAAAAACAACAGACAACCCCCCACTCCTCGCCAAGAATTTGGTTAAAAGTGAGTTATATGAGTTAACTGCCATACCTACATTTCCCACCCCACCCCCCTTTAAGAATAACTATTCATATTGTCCTCCTTGGGGGATGGACAATAGAAAAGTAGGTGAAGGGAGACGTCGGTCAGTGTAAAACATTACAAAATAATAATTTATAAATTATCAAAGGTTCATTGGGGGGGGGGATGAGGAGTTGATGCCAAGGGCTCAAGTAGAAAGCAAATGTTTTGAGAATGATGATGGCAACAAACGTACAAATGTGCTTGACACAATGGATGGATGGATGGATTATGATAAGAGTTGTACGAGCCCCAAATAAAATGATTAAAAAAAAACCAAAACTACACTTAGTGGAGCAGAATACAGACTGTTATTCAGCTATTAATAACGCAGTATTGTTTCCCATTTAAAAATATATATATACATGAAAACAGCTCATAGAAATACAGATTACAATGAAATAAACCGGTATACTTGTCCAATCTCCTCCTAGAGATCTAAATAAGGTACTAAAGATTATAGGATATAAAGAAGACACGGAACTGAGAACATTAAGAAATTCAAACTCAATGAAATTTAGGAAAAGATGGAAAATAGCCAATAGGTTACATACTTAATCAGAGAGAACAAATGGGAGAGTCAGAGATGACCTGGCGAAATGTTTTTACCTGAAAGTTGTGGGCTTTTATTTCCCAAGGAACTGCCACGACTAGATTTGCTGCTTTTGTTTTTAGTAGGTCGCCTTCTTCTCCCTGAAAGGGGGGCAGCGGGGGGAATAATGACAGCAGGGGGAACCTTGCCCAGTTTGGTATACAAAGATTCAATTTCATGTTTTTGGCGACTCTGCAGGTCTTGAATCTCTTTAAGATGCCTACAAAAGATAATCAGACAAAATAAAAAATATCAAAACCATCTCATTCAAACAAGAGTTGACAACATATTTTTTAACCTTCATAAGTATTTACTTATGAACCTTTTAACCAAATGCCTTTAATTCAAGTTCTACTACCTTGAGATTCTAGTTCACTAGCTTCCATTGCTGTTGTTAGCTGCCAGTGAGTTGGTTCTCAACTGATGGCAATCTCATGCACAAGAAGTGAACGGTTGCTCAGTCTCCTTCAGCCCTCTCCTACACCTCCTCATGACTGACCGTGGGTTAGACCTGATGTGACCCATAAGGATTTTACTGGCTGACTTTTATCCAGTATATCACCCAGTCTTTTCTTCCTACTCTTTAGACTGGAAGCTCTGCTGAAATATATTCACCGTCACAGAGACACAAACCTCCATTGACAGATATATGGTGGCTGCACATGAGGTATTCTAGCAGGAACTGAACCTGGGTTTCTTGCATGGACAGTGGGAATTCATTCTACCACTAAGCTACCAATACATTCTATACCAAATCCCAACACATTCCTATCAAATGGTTGATAACATATTAGGAGAAAAGATTTCCTGACTCCTGATTCATTGTTCAAGAAAATATTTGTTACTCTGATCTTATTTGCCAATTATAACCAATAAAACCTGACAATGCAGCCCAAGACCCCTACAATTAGATTCATCTGGTAGATCAATAAATAATTAAGAATGGTTAATAAGAATTAAAGTGCTAATAAATAATAAAGCGACTCTAACATAAAAGCGTTAAAGAAGCTGTAGAAATAGAAATGGTATGAGAATATGAGAACTTAATGGATTACACTGAGATAACTTTAGTTTTTGGCTATCACTTTCTCTTTTAAATAAATGAAAGACCAGCATATTGCAGTGAAGTGAATACTCACGGCAGAACCAAGATTTGGGTCTGGGTATAGAGAGCTAAACCTAAAATAGAGATATGATGTACATTTTTTAAAAATAAAGAGGACTGCAGACTACCTCAAAAGTTCATCTTGTTTCAACAGTATAAACCGACCCCAGCTGATGTGAGGCCTTCTCTGTCAAAGGGGTTATTAAGATGTACAAATAAGAGGGTAATATAAGGATCATAAACAGTAGGCAGGCCCACTGCCACGCTGCTTGGGAGACCAGATTAGAAGAGAACAGATGCCTGCTCGTGTCTTAGTGTTTATCCTTATAGTAATGGTCTCATAAAATATATGCCCCTTTTTCTTTGATTGACTAACACGCTGTTCAGGATCACGGTTTCTAGGCCCATCCATATCATGAGGTGCTTTGTAGTTTCATTACTGTTTTTAAGGGATGAATAGTATTTTCATTGTGTATTTACTAGAGCCTCTTTATCCATTCTTCTTATGGTCAATTGGGGAGTGTGTTTCAAACTTCTTGCTATTGTAAACTGTGCTGCAATGAACAGAGTAGATCATATGTCTGCTCATGTTGTGTCTCTTACTTCTTTAGAGTATATACTCAGTAGAGACATATTGTTGGATTATGGGATTTCTGTTCCTAGTTGTTTTAGGCAGCACCGTATCATTTTTCACAATGGTTTTATGCACTTACACATCCACCAGCAGGTAAGAGTTGTAATTTTTCTGCACTCTCTAGGATTTGTTGTTTTCTCTCTCACTCTGTGTATGTGTGTGTATGTTTAAATTATTCCACCATGGGTGGAAATTGATCGGACAAGAGGAGGCACTATATTCGAACTTAAATTCTGAGTACTCAGCTTGCAGAAGAAGGCTATGAAGGACAGTGAAAGCCCAAAATCCATATCTAGAACACCCACATTGATTAAACCTTTGGAGAATCCCTACTGACTATTGACTAGGGATGTGAATAGAGTTGCTATCAGAAAGAGTGCATTGGGAATTAGATTAATGCCAGTGCAGTTAGGTTAAAATTTAATGCCTTATCATTTATTCTCCATTTTGACACACTAACATTTGTTCTAGTTTTTATTTATTTATTTTTATTAATGTTTTACTGTTTGGTCATTGTTAGGTGTTGTTTCTAAAAAATATAAAATCCAGTATAAATTAATCTATAGAGGCAGTACTGTTAGGGTTATGGCAGTAGAGAGGCTGCGGGGGAATGGGGAACTAATGAGTACAAAGCTGAAGAAATTGTTCTAAAACTGGTGACAATTTCACAACTCGTTTAGAATATTTAAACCACTTAATTGTCTGGTATGTGAATTATGTCAGTAAAACTGGTAAAAGTAAAAAATAAAAGTTCATCTTTAAAGTTTCTTGGATATTACATATTATCTGACATGGGAAAATATACTTACTTATCTCTTAGTCGACGAAGTTCTAACTTTAAATCTTCATCCTCAATATCAGATTCATTGTCACTACTCATATAGGAGGAATTAAATGAATTACTAAGGCTCTGACTTAGGCTCTGGATAGGAAGGCTCTTTGAGCACAGCTGTTGCGGGGAGTGGGGACTACCTGAACCATCATCCACATCCCTACTTAGGAAGGCAGCTTCCAGGTCAGAAGATGGTCCATTCAGATGTGAAGGCTCCATCAGTTCAGGCTTCTCTTTCTTTGGTATCACAGCAGGAAGAGCAGCTTGTTCCAAATCCGTATAAGGAGGAGATGCTGTGGGCCCCTGTGTCGTTGCCACAGTGATCTTGTCTTGAGTTCTTGATACAGAGAAACGACCCACTTTGCTTGTTGTAGTTGTTACCTGAAAGCGTCCAATATTGGTAGGCTGTCCAGTTTCTGACTTTGCCCCTGTGGCAGGGGGTTTGTGGGCACTGTCTGGCACATCTGAAGCGATGCCATGGATGGGTATTCCGGTAGGCTCGGGCTTCACCAGGGTGCTTTCTGGACTGCTACTTGATAGCGCTGAGGACTCTGAAGTGCTGGATTCAAAATGAACAGATTTTGCATCTTCTGACTTTTTACCCTCTTTGGGTGCATCATCCGTTGTAACTGAAACCTAATAATAAAAGAGACCAAGTAGAGAATTAAAGAAATTTTAATCAGAGTATCTCTTTACACACTTCCTCTCGCCTTAGCTGTGAAAATAAATTGAATACCCTAACAGACAAGTAATTTGTACTATAATGCAGATGCTGAGTGGCTGGCTAAGCTTAATATTGAAACAATTTGGTTATATATCCTCTGTTATGAACAGGAATTTACAAACTAAATGATGTGTGTTCAAATCTCATGGCGTGCATAGGATTTAGAATCATGCCTTAGCCAAGCAAATTTAAATAATAAAGGAGGGTGAAATCTTGAACATTGCTGTAAATAAAAAAACGACAAAGATTAAACCAAATGAAAAGCAAATGAAAGCTACATTTCAAAAATCAATGTAATTATTCATATTCACTCCTTACTTACAGATATGGTTATGTTCCTAAGATCATTTTGGCATGTGAAAATTGGGATTATGCACAAGTGGGGAAAGACCGTATCAGCTCACAAAAAGAGGGTTATTGTATCATTACATAACTGTCAAACCATTAGGAAACCATGGCGTAGTCACGATGACACATAACTTTAACCATCACAGTCCAAACTACTCTTGCCTTGCACCTGTGTTTGTTACTGCCAGATATAAGGTATCAGTGTGCAAGAAAAAATAGCCCGACTTTTACCATTGTTGTAAGTGCAAGATGTTGGATAATGAGCTAGTAAGAAGGTGTAATTAACAAAACGGAAGATCTAGATCCTTGTCATGGGTCTTCTGTGTATTTTTATTACAAATTCAACAGAGTAACAAAGTGTTAAGAACCCTCATTTCCAATTGAAAGAACATCACCTGGTATCCCTGCCTGTAAGGACTACCCTAAGAATAACCTGAAAATAGTTGTGAAATCATAAAAAACAAACTATACTAAGAGCCAGAAATTCTTCATTAATTGGGCCAGCATGGAAAATAAAATTATATGGTAATAACTGATGCTGACTATGCACTTTCGCTATTGGAATTTATCTTAAGAATATTGCCTTAAACATGGAAAACATTTTTATACACAACGATGCTTAATGTCATGTATTAAGTTATAGAAATTACAAACAACACGAATGACCAGCAACAGAATAGACTACTTGGATAGGGAGACAAAAGGAAAAAATGTCTACGATTTGGAGAAGCAGGTTAATTTTAGCTACAAATATATACAGAGGAACAGTTTAGTAATAGGACTATGAGTGTTTTTTCCCTCTACCTTGTAAGTATTTTACATTTTCTTCAATTATCATGTATTCCTTTTATTTAGATGGAAAGAGAAATATAAATTGTTGCATGCATTACTTTCAGTAGGGGGGAAAATAGACAAAGAAGGATATATATTATCAAATTGATAATTATGTCCCAAATAGGTAAGTGATAATTTTACTATATATCCACTGCCATTGAGTTGACTCTGACTCACAATAACTTATGTAAAGTTTCGGAGACTATAAATCTTTATGGGAGCAGGCAGTCTAGTCTCATCTTTCTCCCCTGGGAGAGTGGGTGGGTTTAAACCCGACATTAGCAGTACAATCCTTAATTCCACGGCACCACCAAGGTTTCAAGTATATACACACAACTTGCTGCCATCAAGTCAATGGTGACACAGAGCAACCCCTTGCGGGTTTCTAAGACTGCAAGTGTTATAAGAGTAGCCCAGTCTTCTTCCTGAGGAGCAACTGGTGGTTTCCAGCCACTGACCATTCAGATAGCAGACTAGCGAGAAACCACACTACCACCAAGGCTCCTAATTGTATACACAGCTCCCCTTAATGAGAGAATTAAAGTAAGAAAAAGTAACTGATTTACCTGAAACCGCCCCATCTTAATAATTCCTCCAGCTCCTGAACTAGTTGTTAGAACAGGGCCTTCTGTGACTTGAGACACTGAAACAAACAGAGAGGGAAAACAGCTTTTCTTTTTCAGCATCTACTAGCATTTCTTTTTCAGATGGTCAGTAATGCAGATGATGGAAGTTTTTATAGGTAAAGGAAAGTTTCTTACCACTTTTCATTTAAGTTTGTCCAACACAGGAAACCCAGTTATTATTTGCCTAACTTCTAGTAAAAATAACTACTAGTTATCTTCAGCTTAAGATTTACATTTTTTATAAAAAAAATTATCAAATCCTGAAAACTTATCATTAGCTGCCTAGCTTTCCTTTTACACATGTACAGGTAATATTGCATTGTCTGAAGGAAAATGTTACCGATAGAGCAATTATACACCTAAAACACACACACACACTCACTCACAGCCATTCAATGGAAGTGTCAAATCATTTCCATTTATAACTTTTAATAGATATTACCAAATTGATCTTCACAGAGGTGACCTAATCTATTCCAACAAATTAGCGATCCTATATAACAAGGTAGAACTGTCACTGTGAGTTTCTCAGACTGTAACTCTTTATGAGAATAGAAAGCCTCATCTTTCTGAACCATAGGGGTGCAGTGGTTATGAGTTGGGCTAACTGCAAGGTCGGCAGTTTGATACCACCAGCCAATTTTTGAAAGAACGATTATATACCTACTCCTCATTTATCAACTTGGCTGGGCCATGAATTTAGTGGGTTGGCAGCTATGTACTCTGGCAGTTTCGTATTGATGAAGTCTTATTTTGAGATCTGATGCCATTCTTTTATTTTTGCATAAAGCCAATTTTCATGTAACAGCCTAGAACCTAACCATATTGATAAGCAAGGAGTGGGTGGACTGTGTATGAAGAGATACTATAATAACTATTAATAGGCAGTAAGAACTTAATTACTTATTATTGAATTCAGAGATAATAAGATAAAGATCTATTTCAGATTGATTAGTTAAGCATTTTAAGGCAACTTTTAGGCTACCTAGATTCTCCCTACAGAACATTAACCTGAGTTTCTTTCTAGAGATATTGTACAGATAGGCCAGCATGTATTTATTTTAAACCACTGGTAGAATATTCCTGCTTTTAATACTTTCATTTAATAATCTAAGAGATCATTAGATATCAGTCTCATTCTTTTAAATGGCTACATGGCATGATATAGTATGTAGCACATATTTTTAATTGCACCAGATTTCCACTGATGTACACTTGTCATTCAGAACTTCTTGATATTATAAAAGTAAGTAATCTAATAAATATTCTTACATAACTCTGTAATAGAAGTACCAAGTCAGTTCCATTTACAACTTTTAATAGATATTACCAAATTGATCTCCACAGAGGTGACCCAATATGATTAAAAAGAGACATTTTTAATTAAATTTCTTTTTCTCTATATTTTGATTCCCTTTTGGCCCATGGTAAATTATAAAACTATTATATCAGCAAAACTGGTGTGTGTGTGTGTGTGAGAAATATACGGTCTTCTTTTCATTTGTCTTTGAACATTCTTCTATCCATACAAAAGCATTTATATTAATTATGGCTTCTGAGTTTGATAATAAATTTTGGAGAATCCCTATTTTAAGGGTAAGCAAACTACGATCTGTAGACAAACCCAGAACACGGAGTAGCTGCGGCAGACACTGACTATACGACTTACAAAGCCTAAAATATTTACTATTTAGCTCTCTACTGAAAGTTTGCTGACACCTATTCTAGATAGTTTTAAAAAACGGAAAAATCATTCCTCAAATGCTTTCTTAAAGTATTATTTAAGGATATCTCTATTTGAAAACCATTTTGGTCTGAGCTAGGGATGATCCACCTTTGCTTGTTTCCAATTAGCATATGGAGTTGTCTCAATTTAAGAAATACCCCATCTTTATCTCGCCAATTTGAAAGGGCAACTTTTTCATATCCTGACAGACATGCTGAGTTAAATTAGTCAATCACAAGAGGGCAAATACTGCATGAGACAATTATTATCAAGTGTCAAGAAAAAGTTTTCACCCTAAAGACAATGTTCTACACCCTAAGTAGCAACCAGAGTCTTAGAAGCTCTACTGCAGCCCTTTAAAAAGTGAAACTACTAGTTTCTTCCTAGCCAGAATAACGAAGAATGGAAAAAAATCTAAGATCTATATGAGTTCAACAAACAAACAGATCCAGTAAAAAATGGTAACTAAGGGGGAGGGGGAGTGTGTTCAGCGACTATTATGAACTGCTCTAATGATCATATTAGAAAATGATCTAATTTTAATGATTCTAATGATCACATTAGAAAGGTCCTGGATAGAGTGGGGGGAAAATGTGGAACAAAACCCCAAATCATAAGAGATGCCAGGTTTCCTGGTCATGTGATAATGGTGGAACCCCCTAAGACTATAGTCCTTACTAACTCTTCAAATCAGAAACTGAACTCACCAATGTTGGAATAATCAACCATTTATCATCCAAAGGGCAGCATTTGTCCAAGGACAAAGTTCAGATGGTTAGTAAAGAAGGATTAGAAACAGCAAACACAGGGAATAAATGGGATAAAAGATAGTACATTGATGGAATTGCAATGGATGAGTTGGAGCAAAATGTATATGAATCATTAAATGTCAAACTGATGATGTGCTCTGTAAACCTTCACCTATTGGAAAAGAAAAAACTAAAATTAAATGTGTTGGAAGGATACACAAGAAATTAACAATGTCTACTTATAGGGCAGTGGATGATGTGGAAGGGAAAGAGGGTGGGAGAAAAGCATTTCACTGGTTGCTTTTCAAGATTTTATTTTCAGACTATTACCTATTAAAACATTCAAAAGCAAACAAAAAAAAAAAAGGCGTGGAAAACAGAATGGATAATGAAACTTTCCCACTAACTTTTAAAGCCCCTACAGAGATTAGGTGGCACTGATTCGTAATATAGTGAAAAGTTTAAAAACAATAAAAGTTCTCGTCAGTATGCCAATTCTAAATACTCTAGAAAAGGATTTTGAAGAGTTTAACCTGATTAATTGAAATCTTTTATTTCTGTGTCTACCGTTAGGCCATTCAAACTCATTTCTTTATATGTGCAGTGTCATAAAAGTCAAGAGGTGACAATGTCTATGTTTAAAATATGCTTAGAATTCAAAATCTGTCAAAGCAAGGGGCTGGTGTAGCCAATAACAAAGTGCTAAAACCATCATTACTGCATTCTACCCCATAAAAATTACAAACACCAAATATTTATAAATTGCTAATGTTCTAGGCAATATCAATACCGTCTAGTCATGAGTATAACATGTTTGTTATAAAAGTCTCAAACACGGGGAGGAGACGAGCCAGTCAGGGTGCGATGTAGCAAGGATGAAACTTAGACCTTTGTTCTAGTTCCTAAATGCTTCCTTCCTGCCACCCCCCACTATCATGATCCCAATTCTACCTTACAAATATGGCTAGACCAGAGAATGTACACTGGTATAGATAGGAACTGGAAACACAGGGAATCCAGTGCAGATGATCCCTTCAGGACCAGTGGTGCGAGTGGCGATACTGGGAGGGTGGAGTGGAAACAGATTTCGATGACAAGGATCTACATATAATCTCCTCCCTGGGGGACAGACAACAGAAAAGTGGCTGAAGGGAGACGTCAGACAGTGCAAGATATGAAAAAATATTAATTTATAAATTATCAAGGGTTCATGAGGGAGGGGGGAAAATGAGCCGATGCCAGGGGCTTATGTGGAGAGCAAATGTTTTGAGAATGATGAGGGCAATGAATATACAAATGTGCTTTATACAGTTGATGTATGTATGGATTGTGATAAGAGTTGTATGAGCCCCTAATAAAATGATTAAAACAACAACAAAGTCTCAAACACATCTATCTTCTCAAGAATGCATAACAGTATCTTCATAATCAACAATAGGCAGGACTGGAAGTAGTAATATAAGAAGGTTGCTTCTTACCATCCTGAGGATGTGCTCCTGTTTCTGAAGCTGCTGTTGGAGCCACCAGAGACACAGGCTGCAAACACATATACACAGATACCACAAAATCTTTAGCTGCAGTCACTCAAGTTTTTGTTCTTGCTGCCTTTCCTTTCACTTGGGGGCATTTTCTTTCTTTTTATTCAAGAAAGTCAATAAAGACAGCTTTTAAAAGAAATCCTCTCTTCACTCTCAAATACTTTCTTAACTTTTCTCACAAGTTTGTGCATAATTTGGATATTCATAGGAAAATAACTTTCATCAGAAACTTATTATCTCATAATGGAAAAAGTTGAACATCATACTTAAAAAGGATAGCCCTTTCCAAAGCATAAAAACAAAATGCACGAAGATTAGTCTGTGATATACTTCCAACTGAAGAAAAGGTAAGAAAAAGGACTTTCTAAAAAGATCTTTCCCACATACTGTTGGGGATGTCTCATTAATCTATCTCATTTTTCTTGACTGGAACAAGCAGGGACTATTTTCTGAAATGCTGCTAAAGGTATGAATAACAGGTCACAGTTTTTATTGCAGAAATAAAACAAATTAAGGTCATGTGAAGAAAATTTTTGTAATCTTTGAAACTTACACCAGCTGCAGATGTTACAGCCATAGTCTCTGGACTAAGTGTTCTTCTCAATTGAGTATCAAGATCTTCCAGAGGCTGCTGGGTCTAAACAAAAACAAATGTAATTAGCATGGTCCTACAGTAAACTTACACAGAGATGCTATTTTATGTTTTAGATTGACACAACAGTGACTACTTCTTGTAATATTAGCTTCTGGCTGAGCTAGGTGATTTTTTTTTTTTACTCAGAGAGATAGATATCTAGACACATATTTTTCATGAAATGACCACCCCCATGACCTCCTTAGATGACTTCCTTTGGAAGTCAATGAAAGAAATGCACAAGATTCGAAGGAAAACTAAACGAAACAAAACTTGTTGCACTGGATTTCTAACAAGAGGATGTAACAGTTATCAATGTGGTGCCTTTTATAAAGTTCATTCAAAGTTAATGATCACGTATAATCTATTACTTCCACAATGATTTGGAACCTATTCTCATGTTTATGATTAAATTTTACTGCTCTACACAAGAAAGAATAGAAGCTATAAGATTTCTCTAAGGATGGAAGAAGCGTATCAGCCTGTGTGACCTGTTAAATACATTCAAAGCTGCCATCTAGCTCAGAAGCAACAAAGCCCACATGGAAGAAGCACACCAACCTGTGTGATCATGAAGTGCTACAGGGATCAGTTATCAGGCATCAGAGAACAAAAAAATCATATCACTGTGTGCTCACTTCCCCTATACGATCGCTGAAGACAAATGGGTGCATAAGCAAATGTGGTAAAGAAAGCTGATGGTGCCCAGTTATTAAAAGATACAGCGTCTGGGGTCTTAAAAGGCTTGAAGGTAAACAAGCATCCTTCTAACTCAGAAGCAACAAAGCACACATGGAAGAAGCACACCAACCTATGCGATCACGAAGTGTCAAAGGGAGCAGGTACCAGTCATCAAAGAACAAAAAATCCTATTGTATATGAGGCTAAATGCAGAGTAAAGACCCAAAGCCTATCTGTAGGAAACTGGACACCACCTTACTGAAGGGTCGTAGAAAGAAGACGAGCCAGTCAGGGTGCAGGGTAGCACCAAAGAAACATACAACTTACGTCTAGTTCTTAAATGCTTACTCACCCCACTATCATGATCCCAATTCTACCTTACAAATCTGGCTAGACCAGAGGATGTACATTGGTACCGATAGGAACTGGAAACAGGGAATCTAGGACAGATGATCCCTTCAGGACCAGTGGTGAGAGTGGCGATACCTGGAGGGTAGAAGGAAGGTGGTGTAGAAAGGTGGAACCGAGTACAAGGATCTACATATAACCTCCTCCCTGGGGGATAGACAACAGAAAAGTGGGTGAAGGGAGATGTCAGACAGTGTGAGATATGACAAAATAATAATAATTTATAAATTATCAAGGGTTCATGAGGGAGGGGAAAAATGAGCTGATATCAAGGGCTCAAGTAGAAAGCAAATGTTTGGAGAATCATGATGGCAACAAATGTACAAATGTGCTTGACACAATGGATGTATGTATGGAATGGGATAAGAATTGTACGATCCCTCAATAAAATGATAAGAAAAGAAAGATTTCTCTAAAAAAGTGTCACCTTAACTTTTATTTCATATAAGTTATGAAAAAATTATACTATCAAATGCTTCTCAGGTGGCTTGCAACAATATTACTGTTGTAAGTTTACTTGCGGTCTCTGCCCCAGTGTCCCCAACCCCAACTATTTTATGATGATAATCCCATTGTGAATGGGTTGTCTCTGTTATATTAATGAGGCAGGATGAATGCTGTGTCTTATGGCTTAAAAATATAACAAGAGCCTATTAGAGAAGCAAATGGGGGAAGAGAGATGCCAAGCTACATGAAGATAGCCCTCAAGTAGAAGCTCAGAACAGACAAGGACCTTCCACCAGAGTCAACAGAGAGAAAGCTGAAGAGCCAGCACCCTGAATCAGAGCCTCCTGAAGATGGTGTGAGAAAATAAAATTTCTTACTAAAGCCATTATTTATGCTATTTCTGTTAGAGTAGCACTAGATAACTTGTAAGATTACAAACAAAATAACTATGAAGTATCTTAGTTTAGCTAAACTTTTGGTCCAATTTTCAAAACTGTGATAATTGGCAAAAAATATACAGAGCTAAAATGGTTCCCATTGTATTTTCTAAATATAATCAGAGACATTCTTCACATTTTGCTAAAAGTCTTGCTATTTCTATTTTAGCCATTTCATTTCTATTTGTTGTATCTCCCCGTTTTATCCTCAGTCAACCTTCTCAACTGTAAGATTAAATAACTTTATTTTTCAAAAGCAGCAAAATATTCAAAGGTGACCACCCATCTTTACTTGTTGGGCTAAACGGTTATTTAGTTTGAAGGTGATAGTTTCAAATTCAAGGTTTGAATAGCAATATATGGGGTTATAGTCTGGGGGACTCTTCTAGTTTCAATAGGTTCATTTAAGTCTGGATTCTTAAAGAATAAAGAATCTGTCCTCCCTGTACCCCGACATGGTGGGGGGCGCGCAAATGCCCTGGAAATGACTGGAGGGCCAGGGGTGAGGAAATGAGGGTGACTGCGCGGGGTGGTGGGGGCGGATGGTGAGTTCAACTCTGGATTGCTGGGGCAGGGGACCCAGAAGGCTGCTGATGGCAAAACCATTCTCAAAGGCTTGCAGTCCATTTTGCAGGAGCAGGGAATGACTGAGTCGGTGCACACCTGCCAAGACTATGGCTACTTAGCAACCTACACCAACAAAAATGGCAGCTTTGCCAATTTCAGAATTTACCCCCCCAGAGTAGCGTTGCTGGACATTCAGTTACGACAGTGATGCGCAAGGCAACAAAGAACTTGACAGTCTTCTGAACAAAATAGAAGAACGAATGAGAGAACTGAAATCAGGGAAGTACTGCAAGGGTGAAGTGCAAATCACTCATTGTTTGAAGAATAGCCATCGACGAGTGCCTGGTGGAGTATGACATCGGCGAGGTGGTGTATGATGAGGATTCACCTTATCAGAACCTTAAAATTCTACTCTCCAAGTAATTTGGAAATATTCTCATCCTCAGCAGAGATGTCAATTTGGCAGGGTGACTTGGCGTATACCTGGGCCATTATGGGCAATGGAAAAGATTATCCTAGCAAAGATGTACTGATTCTGGGAGGTAAAGATAGGGGCATATTATGCGAAATAGTGAAACTGAAACCAGAGATGGTCACGATGGTAGAGATTGACCAAACGGTGACTGATGGATATTAAGAAATACATGAGAAAAACGTCTTAGACAATCTTAAAGGAGAATGCTATCAGGTTCTAATAGCAAACCGCATTCCCGTCCTGAAGAGGTATGCCCAAGAAGGGAGAATGTTTGATTATAGGATTAATGATTTGACGGCTGTTTCTATCTCCACGTCTCCAGAAAGACTCCATCTGGTAGCTTCTCAGACTGATTCTTGGCCTTTCAATGACAGTATTGAAACAAGACGGGAAATACTTTACACAGGGGGCTGTGTCAATTTGACTGAAGAATAGCTCGGGCACCTCTACTGTCCTGGGGAATTCCCCAAGGAGATGGTCTGTGTCTCTTCATATTTGGAACTGTGGGTATTTTACACTGTGTGGAAGACAACTAAGCTTTGAAGATGAACGTCACCCATTATATGTGACCTCCACACATTTGATGGCATCTGAATGAGTTGGGCAATTGATTGTGAATTCCTTAAGTTTTTTAAAAAAAATTATTGTCTTTAATTTTAAATAGCAAATGGAAAATGCATTGTTTTGATGCACTAGGGTGGTCTTTATTTATTAATTTATTAAAGTCAGCTTAAGGACAATCCAGCAGCAGTCAAGGCTGCTACATGCACTGAACCCCTAGAATGTGATTTTTGTTTAACAACCCCTGCCTGCCCCGGGGTTTGAATAAACTTACTCTTCTGTCCAAACCTTTAAAAAAGGAAAGAAATAAAAAAACCCATCTAGTCGTTCCTGTCTCAAGGAAGAGGAAGCAGCGGTTCATAAAGACAATTAGTCCTGCAGTCCAGAGTCCTTCTCCCATTCTTGGGTCTCTTTCCTTCTCTTTTGTTCCAATGAATGAAGTTGGTACTTAGATAGCTATGTCGGCTTTGTCCGACACTGTTCACCATATTAAGAAGTACAAGATAAATTTTTAGGATTCTATTGTGCCAATCCTGACTCTCCCTTGAGAACATAGTCCAAAGCCCTCAAATCAAGAGAATAGATCCCACTAGACCACTGAGTAAGGTACTATTAACTCAAAGCCAAATGGCAAGTCAAAATCATGCAATGGAGAATTTAAACAAGTTTTGTAAAGAAATAGGAGCCACAGAGCAAAAAGTCTGCTAAGTCTTGGGGCACCTGTGTTAGTGAAGGTCCCGGAAGAGGTGGCAGCTGCTCGCTAGGTGGAGTGCCAGCTGGGAGTTCAGTACCTGCTGGCAGCACCTATAAACAATGAAAGTAAATTTAGTTTCCAGACACATGAATAGCAGAGATGGCACACTTAAAGACCAAATAATCTAGTCTGAATTCAGAAGCATAAGAATAAAAACTGTACATAAGATCGTTTGTCACCTAGGTTATACTCTGGGGACTCTCTTAAATAAAGGATATTAGAACCATTGGTACTATTATAGGAGCCTCTATGACAGACCTATAAAATGTGTAAAATATAGCAAAGGATATTTTTAAAAGAAAATAGGAAATACATTACATATATATGTGCAGCACATTATAGATACTAAGTCACTTCTTTGATACAGTATTATTAGGTTTTTGTTAAGATTTTTCTAAGAAAATAAGTCATTGTTTGCTTATTTAATAAAGATCATCAGAAATCTAATACTAGGATTTCTGAGTGAAGTCTCTGTATTATCTTATTAAAAAAAAGAGTATTTTACCAGTGGCAATGTAGAAAGATGACTATACAGTACACTAGACAAAATATAGCCTTGCTATTTGCCATCACAGCAGAATTATAGAATATATACTAGGTATTTTATGTCTAGCATTATAATCTTTTCTCCTTCCTATTAATTTCACCACCAAATGAATATTTTTGTAAACCCAAAATTATACATTTATACACATCAGAAAACATTAAAAAAAAAAAAATCTCACCGAATCTAAGATTGTGAACTGTTGCCAGAAGTAATTAGCTCCCCTTTGAATTATAGATTAGGAAGAAATGCTTGCATTTTACAGAAATGTATGCATAGCAAATAGTGCAGTATAACTAAAATTAACCTCTAAAAATCCGTCATAATTCAATATGAAAAGTAACCCTTTGTTAAAAATATAAAAACACTGTTTACAATACCTAATACACAGCCTCCTAAAATCACTCAATTATTTATTCAATAAATAATTGAGATCACTCAATTATTTATTCAATAAATAATTGAGTTTCCTGCTGTAAGGCACCTTTAAAAATCAAACTCCGATGGATCTTACCGGAGCCTTGGTTAAAGGTGGTTTTGAGGGAGTAGTTCCAGGTTTCACTCCTGCTGTAGTGCTGACTGGGGCTGAAATATAACTGCTTGGGGTAGAAACTTGCCCAGGTGTGACCACTGGCAATCCAGCTGCTCCTAATGGCAAACTAGTTGGTGGCAAGCAACTACTTGTAGTGGAAGTCATGAGCTTGCTTGGTGCAACAGCAGTGGTTGGGGCACCTGGCATGACAGTGGTCTCTACTACTAGTGATGTCTCCAGTGACACAGAGGCATGTTGAGTTCCAGATGAACTGTGCTCACTAAAGAGAGACCGCAGCTTTTCCTCCAGAGTCTTTATGTCATCAATTCCAGCTTTGGGTTGTGCATCAGCATCTATTTCAGGACAGTGACTATGGGGCTGATTGGGAAGCAAAGCTGGTTGAGGTTGGCTATGAATTAGTGTCTGCTGTACAGCAGGCACATTGACAACAGGTTGTACCAATGGTGGGACACTGGGTACTTGGGGTAATAAAGGTGTGGCACCAGGTCCAGTTGCTTGGGGAAGGGCAGGAGCAGAAGCTACAGCTGATGGGACAATCAAAGGATGTATCCCACCAGGTTGGGTAACAGAGCTAGATACTCCTGGACCAGAGGAAGAGGATGGTGTAGAGAGGGGCAAAGCCAGCCCAGTGGCAGTGCTATAAGATGTTTTATCTAATGAGTGTGCACTGACCACCACTGTTTCAGCTAGTGTAGGAGCAGAGCTGCTGCTGCTAAGTTGAAGGGATGGCTGTGAAGCTATGCTTGGAAACGAAGTAATGGTGGAAACTGATGTTGGTGTGGCTACTCCAGTAGTACTGCTTGCAGCCTGCTGAGATAATACAGTTGGAGGCTTAGCATCTGGGGCAGTAGTGCTGCTGATTGCAGGGGTGGAAGCTGTGCAAACTGTTACAGATGGGAGAGTGCCTGTACTAGCAACAGTACTCCCACATGTGGGGGCCAGAACGGCCTGCGATGCTGTAGATACTGAGACAACAGTAGGTGCTGTGATGCTTGAAACCACACTGGTAAGTATTGGTGACTCAGACACAGATGGTGGAGGGAGACCACTTGAAGTTACTACAATCTGAGTAATCCCTTTTTCAGTGGGTACCATAACCTCAGACTGAATTACTGATGTGGGTATGTCAGTGGTAGGGACTGACACTGATGATGTGGCTACTCCTGTGGTTGGGACTCCAGTAATGTTACTCATGGGAGGAGGTACTACTGGAAATGTTGGTCCTTTCTGACTGAAATCTGGAGGTGCTGTATTGGGTCCTTCTGTCATTTGGGCATGTTTAAGTTCAGAAAAGGCCTGCTGTAGGCTGAGGGATGAAGCAGAGTGTGACAAATTCATTCCAGGGCCCTGAGATGTAGAGGCGGCAACTATAAAAGAAAAAAATGACAATAAAAAATAAGAATAGGCCATTTTAAAAGGGTAGATTCAAAAGACTGCCTTGACAACTTATTTTTAGATTCCCAACAAGGCAGTTTACAGTTGCTCCCAAGAAAACGAGAGGCTTTAAAACTGTAGCATAATCAAAAATAGTTTAACTTCTAGGAGTATCTGTCCCTGAGTATTACCAACAGTTGGGTACTGGGCTGCTAAGTGAAAGCCAGGAAATTTGAGCCTACTCAGAAGTTCAAAAGAAAGGTGAATGACAGACCTTTGGAAAACACTTCTACTCTGACACCCTAGAGTCACCATGAGTTGAAACTGACTTGACAGCAGTTGTTGATTTGGTATGAGCATCTATTTCTGAAAACAAAATAAAATTCCCTCCAAACAGAGTAACCCTGAAGCCTACCTAATACTACTAATTGGAAAAAGAAATACACACTGACCAGTATCTTGTATGACTGTCCTTTTGGGCTCTCTTGAATCCCTCTAGTCATTATCTGTTCTCCTCCTTCACATGTTATAACCTCATCATTCTACTCTATGGACTTCTGCTTGATGAAAAAACCTCCAAACACAACAGAGATGATGGGTGATTTGCCTCAGTATGTGCCAGAATCAATTTCTTACCCGTATCTGAGGTTTCACTGGTGAAAACTTGTGATTCTCGTAATCGGCTTTCTGGCACAGGACTTACTATAAACCTTCTTCCCGCAGAATGAACAACTTGAGTTAAAGAACTGGTTGGAACACCTAGCCAAAAAGAAGCAAACCACTTAAAAACATTATACTATCTATTTTGTTACCAATAGGAGGCTGCAAGGTTTCATTATTAGCACACAGCTTCCTAATGATAAGAGCCAATATGGAAAGAAAAGTAATTCACCTATTTGCTGTGGCATGGAAGATGCAGGAGTTGGTTGTTTAAACTCTCCTTCCAATTTCTACAACAACAACAAAAAAATTGATTCTCAAATGCAGCCTCAAACAGTAGTCAAAACAAATGCTGACATGCAATAACAATACGAATATTTGATCATCTCAGTTAATAGACACGAAGTGGTGATCTCACAGAATAGTTTTGCATGGAAACTTATTTTACTTCAAGACCGGTGAACCTACTTGAGAATTTGAGAAACCATAGTCATCCTTTCCTTGAAGACTCTCCAATCCCTGGTCACCTTCTGGCTCCACATTGACATCCTCACTGAGCATTTCATCAGCTTTTTCAATAATTTCCCGCACTTGATCCACAAATGACTCTCTTTCTATGGCTAGAATAAAGTCATTATTCACCTGCAAAAGAAATGTAATGTTAGTCTATTAATGTAAGGCTTCACAAATATTAAGTTACCCATCAACCACTTTCATAACATCTGCCCTAATTGTATTATTATTTATTGGGAAGCTCATTGGTTCTGCTTTTTAAACAACTCCAATACTTAAACATATACCCTTGAAAAAACCATCTGTAAATCACAAGCTTGATATGTTAGTTAAAATGAAATAAATATGTAATTATTAGAACAAATAACAAAATACAGCATATTTGCCTATAGTGGTAGATAATAAAATCAAGTACTAAGGTAGAATTTAGAACTCCAAGTGCATACATACCATAATTGCTGCTATCTCTTCAGGGTTGTCACCATCTAGGTCAAATTTGAAGGTGACCATTTTTCGATTGTGAGTTTCTAATTGACATTCTACTACTCGGTCTCCTTTATTTGAAACCTAAGCGGGAGGCAGGGGTGGGAGAGAAGATATTTCATCTCAGAAGGCCATTCTCAATTATGAAAATGGTTTTATTAAAGTTTGAGATGGCAATGCACAATAGCCCTTGAATTTATGCCTTAGGAAACACTTGAACCACTGTCACTTATGTTTCTTAAACTAGTATAGCAAATAAACCATTGAAAAAGTTATCTGCCTCTCGATTACTCATTTATCTCCCACTGAAGCAATGTAAAGTCAAACAGCAATAAAAGTCTTTTATTATAAGATGATTATTTTATGAAGCCCATAGAAAAGCAGCAATACTTACATTCAATATCCTTAATTTTGGACGTGAAGACTTTTCATGACGAGAACGACTTCTTACAGACTTTCGATAATGCCGTTTTGCAGTTCTCCCTTCGTGCCTACCACTGGAAGATGGGATGTTCTCATTGCCATCACTCAAACCCGAAGCAACATCTGAATGTGCACTTAAAAAAAAAAAAGTGGTTTCTAGTGAAGCTTATAGTCTGCTATTTTGAAGTTTTACACCATCCTATATATAATCAAAGAATGAGAATTTTAGCTTCACATACCTGTCTACAGAGGAGACCAATGTGGTAAGCTGGGTAGGTTGTGGCTGTGCTGTTGGAACTGGCTCTGGGGGAGTAACCTGAGAAACTCCCTGGGTACTCTGTGAATGGAAAAGATAATCGAAATCTTGGTAGTACATGCTTTCATCAGCCATCATCCCCAATAAACTACTTGTTTTTCTTTTTTCTTATCCCTCCCTTAAATCATAGAAGCACTAAACTTACTAGTGATTTTTAATTTTCAGCACAGAGGTAGTGGTCTTAAATTCCAAGAAATTTCTAAAGCCAGTACTATCTTGTATAATAAGACTGCATGATGAGATCAGCCAACATATTTGCTAGGCAGTGTGACACTACAACTTGCCATGCAGCCAGCATCTTACCAGAACTGTGCAATAGGGCAGGCAGAGCAAAGTGTGAAGATGATTCAGAACTTTCTCCCAGTAGGGCAAAAATGACTCCTGGGAGCACAGCAAGATAAGATACTTTTATGACTGCCAAATGGCAAGAATCTGTGAAACGGTAAGAATATTGCCTAAAGTACTAGCTAGAGAAGTGAAGTGCTAACAAGTTTAATCTTCCCAAGACACACTCACTTCCCAACAGAACAGCCAGTGGCAACAAGGCCCCCACATAGGCATTTCATTCTGCTGGAAGAAAAAGTCATTCAGAAGTTAGTTTAAAAGTCTCCAATACATTCTAAACCAGGGAAGGCAATGATTCTTATTTATCACTTTAATCTCATATTTGTATTTTATATAGAAACATGCAGTAATTCCATTTACCTCCAGAGCTGCTTGCTGGGAGGATGTAGGGGGGGCTTGTTGTGCTAAACTCACTGCTGGCTGGGGCATTTGAACCTGTCCTCCTAGACCGCCCACAGGAACCAAAAGATTTGATTCCACATAAGGCTGCACCACTGTAGGAAAGTAACCTGGTGCAGCCAGTGCTTCTGTGGGCAGGGGAGGGGATAGGACTGTAGAAGGGATGCAAACAGAAGCCACGTTGGAAGAGGGAGCAATATTTGAATCTCCTGGGTATTGTGTTGGCAGTCGAGATGGGAAGCCCTGTGATAGAAATGAGGAAGGTGAGTTAGTGCAGGTTGGGTCATCAAATTAGCAAAATTGCAAGACATGCCAAAACAAGAAAAGGAAAAAAAAGTACATAGCAAAGAAGAGTAGAAGCCAAATCTCTCTATTTCTGTATTTCAAGGAACATTTATTTAAAGTTAATTCTTGAAATTAAATGGTAGACTGGTTCCAATTCAGAGTATAGGACTACAGGACTCTATAACCATACTTTAGACTGCTGGTTTTACCCCTCCTGGAGATAATTTTAATGGGAATAGATTTAATAATTCCTTTTAGAACAGTATTTACTTTCTAGCCAATCTTAAATGGCCGGTGGAAAAAAATCTTCAAGGTACCAGTTAATCTGGTCATCTATGACCTGCTAATCTAAATCTAAACCCTGATGCCTTTTAAAAAAGAAATATACTATGCTGACATCTCTGCCTATTAAAAAAAGAGTAACTTGATGTACTCCGCTATGAATCATAGCATTCAGTTAGTTTACACTAAATACTTAAAGAAACATTTTTCTTCCAAGAAGTAAACCGTATATACTCGTGTGTAAGTCGAGTTTTTCCAGCACATTTTTAATGCAGCATTTGTAGTAAAATTAGGTGCCTCAGCTGATATTTGGGTCGGCTTATACTCGAGTATATACAGTATCTTGAAATAAAGATAGGATAAAAATCATATGATTGCTTTATCCTTTTCCAGAAATTGATTGTTTTCCCTTCTCTAGTAGTTACCAGCAGCTTTTGTTATTGATAGTTATTCTGATATTCAATTACTAGGGTTTCAAGTCCTTGATAATTTACTATTAGAACCAAACCCTCTGGTACCCTTTTTTAGAACTAGCTAGCACAATACCTGGTACAGAACATCTCCAGAGGGAAGTGGAACCTCAGCAGCTTGTCCAAGGTTAGCTGGTATTCCCATGGACTGAACTGCTGGTTGCAGGAGCTGTGGGTGAACCTGACTTGGCAGCTGAGTCACAGGCTGCAGAAGGGTTGGAAGTTGACTAGGAACGACAGTTGATCCCCCTGGGATTGCAGCTGCTATAGCAGATGAAGCCAAGGTAAGCAGAGGCTGATTAATGCCAGCTGCCATTGTGATGGGAAGGGATGAGAAACCCGTCTGAGCTGCAGATACATGAGGAGTTGGTATGGGAATTTGAGAGACAGGGTATTGAGGAAGTAAGGAAGCAGGGAGTGGCTGTCCCATAGGGAGGAAATGAGCACCAGAGTGGGCTGGAACAACTGAGGGTTGTGTTGCAACTGGGATCTTAGGTTCGCCTTGAACAGCTGGTACTGGCTGGGAAACTGGAAGCTGGGAAAGTAAATAAAAACAAAAGATAGAGACTTTTTTAGAAAGCAAGATGGCCAAAGCAAGGTTTATATATTAGCCAAAAAAGAATGAAAAACATAATACCCCTGCATACATTAGTGTAAGCTAATATGAATATAAGAAAAGGGAAAGGATAGCAGGAGACAAAGGTTGCTAGATTAGACGGCTATTGGCTACACTTTGGATTGCAGGATATTTTTCTAATACTTTTTTGTTCAACTATAAAAAGGAAAGGGTTCTAAGAGTATTTTCTTTTAATAGCATTGAGCTATGTTTCACATACCACAATTCACAGACAACAGGTTTGCTATCATTAAATCTATAACTTCTATTCAGCAGTGGAATTTAATTCCTTCTCACTAGAATACTAAGGTCTGCTACTAAAATTCTTGATTCTACCTAACAAAGCTGTACAAAAATACATGTAATTACCATACTCCATTGATTATGGGATGCAAACCCTGGCCTCTACCATTTTAACATCTATAAAAATGGGAACATCTTAAATGAATCACAACTCATATGCAATGAAATATGGTAACAGTACATTGTGCCAAAACACATAAGCACAAAAGGTACCAATGAAAAAAACTGAAGAAAGATCATTCAGAAAAGCATACTTCCACCAGGGTGCTTTTAGGGATTAAAGAACTGATACCTATATGAATAATGGCAGTAGACTATGAGGGAGTCAGATGACGACGTTAGACATTTTAAGTGTCACTGTTGTCAGTTTCATGTAGAGAAATCTTCATGAAAATGCAGGACAGTAGCAAACCACAAATAGTAGATATAAACCACAAATCTAAAGAAAGCCAGATGATTCAAATCAAAATACCTTTATTTAACTCATAAGCTCTAACCAAAAAAAAACCCCGCTACTGTCATTGGAGCAATTCTGACGCAGAGACCCTATGTGGTAGAGCAGAAGTGCCTGGTTCCTTAGGGTTTCCAAGTATGTCTACCTTAAAAACAATAACACACCCGTTTTCTACTTAACTCTTCATACACATTTGTTTCATGTCATTGCAATGCCCACAACGTAATGCCATTCATGCTATTTCTACCCTATGTTTTCAGTTTTTAGAGTGTTAACCCTGACAGACGCTGATTGCCACATTTTTTTTTTTTTTTTTGGCCTATTCGCTGGTGGGTTCACACCACTGACCTTTCATATAGCAATTGAACCACTGTGCCACCAGGGCTCCTTCAGTAGTTTCATTACTTGTCAAATCTATTTTAGACAAAGATAAATGTTCAACATCTTTGGATAATCGCTGTCAGTGTGCACACATTTATATTAACCAATGCATATGTGCAAAAGAAGCAACTTTTAGTTCATTTTATTGCCTTGATATAAACCCTCTTCAGTAGAAATTTCACCATTAAAAGAGAAGAAAAATACCTATTAACACATAAGGACAAGTTTTAGTATCATTTCAGAAACTAAGAGTTTACCTGTTTTACAGTTGATGCTTGAGGCAAGACCTGTGGAGCTTGCGGCTGCTGCACTGGCTGTACACATTCAGTGACCTCACTGGAGGCCGGTGGCTGTGGAAGTGAATACTGCACTATCATCTGCTGAGGAGGGGCTGCTTGCTGCATTCCCTGTGTCTGTGAATAAAATATAAGGATTTGGTTTTAAGATATTAACATGTTCCTATGGCTGTATGTTTACCTAAGGGCTATAAATGACTATTTTTCGTAATCAAGACATGCAGAAATCCAATTCATCCACCTGCCTTACAGGTATCTGAATCTATATATGACAATGATTAAATTTAATTAGTCATATGTTTTGCCAACCTCAAGTTTGATTTATTTTTTATTATCAGCCACTAATAAGAATATAAATTACATGTGCTGTTTTTCTTTTTCCAACAAATTTCTTTTTTATATTGCAAAATTTGTGCGTGCACTTACTATTCTATAACTGTCAGGTTAAAAAAATTAAGGTAGCTGACTTTCTGGGAGGCGAGGAGGGTGTAGATTGCAATCTCTGTAATAAAAATAATTTCCAATTTAGTGATGTTTTCATATTAGATACTTTTATGCTGTGGCTTATTTTAAATACAGCATGCTATTTATGTTTACAAGATTAAAACTAAGCCCTCAATTTATAAAAGAACTGTGTGCAACCCAGAACATTTAACTTTCACAAGATAACATAAAAGTAAGTTATGAACTACAGGAATTTTTAGAATGATCAGTTTGTCAGCTTGTGATGCTGAATGAATTCACTGCACTAAATTTTGAGTTCCCTGGATCTAGTGGAATTTGTATAATTTCAAATCAGAAGTTTAAGATTTTTTTTAAAACAAAAAGATCCCCAAACCACTTGTTTATAAGCTTTCATTCAGTGCCTCTCAGATAAAATCTGATACTTCATCATATGGCAGATCAGAAATAATGAAGAAAGGAAAGCTAGAAGGTTGTTAAGAGAAAAGCACAAAGAAAACAATGCCAAAATGCTCATTAAGTAACAAGTCACACACATAAATAAAACAAATTGATATTCTTTGTATTACAGTATTTTATGCATAATCACCTAAGACAAATAAATTTGTAAAAGATCAGTAACAGCGATGCTTTGAAATGTTAATGTACATCTAATTTATTACATTTTAAAATATATAGCAAAATAAGATTTTCTAAAATGCTACTAGAGATATATTAACTCTTAATTTTCCTTTCAAAAACTTAGCAAGCCACTCAGTATCAGGAATCAAATTCATGAAAGATGTAACAGTGCTTTAGCCACTGTGAAGCCATAAAATCCAGCAACACGTTGCTCTCACCTGCTGAGGATGCTGTATAGGTTGAGAAGGTGGCATCGCTGGTAAGCTACTTGAGGGTGGCTGGCCCTGGCTCTGCCCCTGTGCCTGAAGGAAAGTGAACAAAACAAATTAAAGAAGTGCATGGAAGGTTAAGTGTACAGTTGACAGGCTTTTGCAATAAATGTCTAAAAATTTGCATGAACAAAATGAAACATTAGCTTGATTGAGTATATATAGAAAGAAAGGTCGCTGGGGCATCTTTTTATAATAAGAATTTAGAGAGGGATCATATCATGAAACATATTCTATGTCCCAGGCAAAATAAAACAAAATTAACATTGGCTGTTATAGTAGCAAGAGTCAAATGAAATTGTCATTAGAAATATAATTATCAGGAAAAAAGTGACAAGATGATCAGTGTGAAATAATTTTTTATCTGGACAAATAATTTTTTAAAAAGGTACCTGATAAAAACCAATGCTAGCTTTTGCTACTTCTTGTAGTGTCATGCTGCCTTTATTTTGGTGGCCATAACTGGGGAGTTTGTGCTCGTGGCGTCTAATGGATAGAGGCCAAGGATCCTATTAAGCATCCAACAGTGCACTGAACAGATTCCCACAACAAAGAAATCACCAGTCCAAAATGAGAATAGTGGTGAGGGTAAGAAAACCTGACCTAGATTACATCATACTAAGATGTCTAAAAGTTCAATAAATTGACACGAGAAAGTGAGATGGAGCAGGCAGGTAAGTTAAGGAAATAAAAAGGTCCAGTTCAGTTAAGAAGGGGTTCTTTGAAGCTTACTTGGGGCAGCTACCTGCTATTAAGTATTCATTCATGCTACAAATGACACCCTGTTTTATATGTAATAGACTTTGGAATGCTTAAAGGAGAATGGCCAGCAATATACATTAAGATTTGCACTAGGGATTATGACATGTGAGTACAATACATTCCCATAGAACACAGTTTTCAAGTTTCTGGATTTTTCCCATCTCATAGTATTATAAATTGTTACTTTATATATATTTTGGGGAGTTTCTATGTCCCTGATGGGGTGAAAATATATGTAAAACGTAAGAACATCTGGTACTTTTTATGAAGACTTAGAATGTTTCATAATCCAAGTAAGTTTTTAATATACAATTGCATATTCTCCTGTACAGATTTCCTCAAAAGCATACATTTGACAAAATATATCAAGGGAATATATAAAGTAGTCAATAGTAACTCCATGTTTTGACTTCTTTCATGATTATTTTGCATACTTTTGTCTTTATTTGCAAAAAAATGTGTATGTGCGTATGTACATAAATCACTGTATTTAAATTTGTTAAGAACAACAAGACCCCAGATAGTTTGTTTTTAGCTTGTAACATGTACCAAGAATTCTTAACACAAAAATAAAAGCATCACCAATTAGATTCCAACTTAGTTGCTGAAAATTAGAATTAGACCTTTCTTTTGTGGATTAACATCTTATTTGGACAAATAATGCAGTGATGTGACTGCTGCCATTTCAATAAGGTATCTTCGTTTGTTAAGGTAAATCCTTAGACTGCCTCCTTCTTACTGGTTTTAAGATTCCTCTACATAACTAATAAAGATTTTGACAACTAATAAAGATTTTGTGTATTCTTAATAGTAATCTGAAATTGCTCTCTAAATTTCTATTTTGTAGGGGAAAAAAACTTCATATTACTATTATTCCTAAATAATCAGTGCCAAGTTAACCTTACATTATAGACACTTGCGTTTTCATTACTAGTCAAAAATATCTTAAGAAATGGATATGAATGAGTGATTTTTGAAGAGTAAGATGACTAAAATTCTAGGTTTTAATGATTCATTTTCCAATGGTCTGCACATATTATAGGTAAATTAGGTACTGTCTCATGTTTTATTCTTCGGTACAAGCAGTTTAAACCCCCCAAAAGATGGGAAAACTCTACTAATAAAATTAAACAGTGTTCCACATACATCCATGATTCAAGGAAAGGAGAGAACTTAAATGTAGCAGTGAATAATAAGGTAGTTTAAAATAATTGTGGAAGTTTTCCTATAACCTGTGGATGGAGTGAAGATCCTCCTGTAGGATATGAAGCAGCTAAGACCTGCTGAGATGTGGTTCCTTGGGGGAAACAGAAGAAAAGTGGGGGTTCTTGTAACAATGTCTGAGGCAGACGGATAAAGGGCAATGAGACTTCAGAGCCAAAAGACGCAGCTGCTCCCCCTGTAGGGGGAGGTGACTGAAAATCACTGGGATCTGAAGAAGTAATTTGTGAGGAATCACTGGAATATTCTGGGCTTCCTATTGGCCAGTTCTGCCCAGCAGGCTCTGCCACAGAAATGTTCAATTCTGGGGAACGGTAATTATGCTGTTCTTCAGTCACAGGCTGTAGGCGGCCATGTAATCCAGCTGTTTGAGGAGGTGGTTCATCCTGATTCAAGTCCACTGCAACCTGCCAATTTCGGTAGGCATGCTGAGGTACAACTCCGCCTCCTTCTCCTGAAGAAGAGCTTGGTGTGTGAACATGGAATTCAAATACACAATTGCTTCTGCCCTCATTGTTATGACTTAATACAGCAGGTGCAGAATGAGGAACAAAGACAGGGTGGAATTTCAAACGTGCAGCATCTGTACTGATAGGTGCAGAAATACTAGAGAGGGGAGATCCTGGACTCACTCCAGAATCTAATCTTAAGTTCTGAAGGTGTCCTACCAGGAAAGCCTGTGCAGGTGGAAATTCAAAGACAGAACTTGGAGGGCCCCCTTGTACTGCCTTCTGTTCAGATATCTGCTTCATAGGACTTGACAGTACTGATGAGTTGTATGCAATGCCATCATATTGTTCTGCCACCTGTGCCTGGTAATGTACCCCTGCTAAATACACTGTTTCCTGAGGAATGAAATAGCGAGCTTCTTCTGGAGGTGCTAGTCCAGCTCTACAGTCACTGTAAACTTGAGTTGGTTCAAACATAGGATGGACCTGTATCTCACATGGCTCGCCAGTTATTCTACTGGCAGTTGAACCCAACATTACTACCGTCTCTGGTGTCCAGTTAGTTGGGCTGCTACCAGGTGGAAGAGTTTGGCCAACAGTCCTCAGCAGGGGTTGGAAGTGGCGAGTTTGGGCTTCCAAGAAGGAGGTGCTCTTACGCCGCTGGGAAGTGGCTACCTTCGGTGGACAGGTAGGAGGTGGTGAAAAAGAAACTGGACGCTCATGAATAGTTTGGAAAAGTATCTGTGATTCTGGGTATGTTGGGGTCCCCCCACACGGATGCACCATGGAGTGAGGCTGTATCAACATGAATAAGACAAGTAATTCATACATTCATATGTAAAATTACATTAGACATGCACAACTGGATAGCTGTGTAACCCTATGAAATGGTTACACCAAATTTATAATTAATAAAAAAATAACAATACTTTTATAAATTAGGTGCACAGTAGAAATCCACTAAATACATCCAGGGCCAATGTCACCAGTCTGTGGAACTCTTTGCATCAGATAAGAGCTGCTTTCCCATTCCTTTCTAACAGTTAATATGCTCACTCTAGAACAATAAACATTAAATCAGTAGAAAAAGACACAGGCATAAAAGGAAGGCAATAAACCCAAATATTTTTATACGACATTCTTCAATTTAACCTACTGTACTAAGTCCTCCAATATTCTACATTCTTACTCTCTCTCTATATATATATATAAATATATTTGCAATTGCTGCAAGGTTTCAAATTATGCCCCCAATACATTTTTACTATTCTAAAGAGATTTGTACTACTTTATCAACTAATTGCATATCTTCTGTTAGTGTGCACGCATGATAGTGATAGTAGTATCTCCCCTCTGTCTATCCCAAACTAGATACAGTGAGTAGTTTCACTACTTGAAACATGTCACAAGCACCTGGATTTAATAACTGAATTTTCTGATTTTGATATTTGTTGTCCAAATTGGGTGAAAGGGACAACATAAATAACAGCCTGCTTGATCTAACAACTTTTTGTTCACAGCAGTTCAAAAGACTCTAAATTTAGAATCTTTGCTTGCCAAATGCAAACAAAGCACACTAATAATTCATCTTTTTAAAAGAGTAAATAAGCTTCCTAGTTTTTAAAAGGTTAGGCCACTATTAAGCTAGTAAAGTGGCTCAAATGTTACTTCTTTAGAACAGAGAGAACATTGCTGTTTCAAACTGTAGAATCAAAAACGATCCAATTCACTGTTCTTTGTTCAAGGTGTATCCCCAAACCCAAAACAATGTTTTAAATACAAATCAAAAAATTTGGGGGTTGCTAGAGCAGAATCTTAACATATTCTTTATTTGGAAAAGCAGCAGCAAGGTCCCACAGATCTTAAAACTATTAAAAAGATATGTTTATAGACATGAGTGGGGGCAAAGAGTCATACAAACTATCTATGTGATGGATGCTCGTTTCATTAGCACCAAAGCCCAACCCTATTCAACCTAAGAAAAAAATAAGAAAAAAATATTTCTATGAGGGGACATTATATAGCCTTTTAGTTTGCTGACATCATTTTAAGCAGTAATCAAATTAAAACCAACTTTTATTCCTCAATTATTCATTGACTATAGAAAAAAATTAATTCATTTGGTTTCATTAGTGTATCTTTAAAATAAAGTGAGGAGAACCATTTGTGCATATTTAATAAAGGAAAATTTTGCTTTTGATTAAGCTAGCAATGAATTTAAAATTAATCCTTTTAAAAACTTGGATAAGAAATGCAAAGACATGTAGGAGGTAGAATATAACGCTAACATTTTATAGGGCACACACTGATATATATCAAGGGCTTTATAACTATTATCTCTTATTATCTGGCTTTTTAAACCCCCTTTCAAAGCCTTATTACAAAAAAAATTCTTACAGGAAGAACTAGTATCCTAAAAGCATAAACAGGTTTAGTCCTGTCTTTATTAAATTTGTTTGAAAATTCTTGGTGCCTGGATGTATTCACTGGTAATAATTTTTCATTTGTCAGGAAGTTTATGGTTACATACAGTACTGACAAAGAGGGCGGGCAGGCTGGAGCGTCGGTGCTTGCGCAGACTGGTAGAGTGCATAGGCAGGACACTCTCCAATGCTTTAGAAAGCTTTTCAGCAAAAGTTTCCTCAGGGGCAGTCCGAAGGAGGGGAGGAGGAAGAGGTGCAGACAGCACTGGTGGTGGGGTGGAAAGACCACTGGGAGAGATGCAGGACAGATAGGGAACAGCAGAAAGATGGGGAACACAAACTGACATGCTACGGCCACGACGAGGCTAAACAGAAAACAAACACACATGAAAACACACAGTACTTGAAAACAAAATAACCAAATGTCTAATGATAACAGGGCATAGTTAACATAAAAGAAAAGGTTCTCCATTCCCAATTTTTGCAAAGTCAAGTTTTCTGAGGACAGTATTAACTCCACAAAGCATGTTTGGGAGATTGCTGCTATTCTGGTCAAGTATATTCTTTTTTTTTTTTTTTAAGGCACTACTACAACAATCAATTATTACTAAGTATTCTAGGGTAATAGAATTGGCTATTATGAGTGTATGAATGATAAATTGCCTGAAGACAGAACAGATAGGGAAAACAATGAATTTCAGCTTATAATTTCAGTTGATTAATTAGAAAGAATTCTGTTAGTTTAAAATACATGATAGGATATAGAAGATTTTCAGACTTGGTTATTTTGTAGGCACTCTAGGAAAGCACTGAATAACAAAAGTAGTTGCTCACAGTATCTTACTTATCATTATTATACTTGGTAATCTTTACTTGCAAGGGTAAAATGTCATCTACTAGGAAAAGGTTTAGCATTCTAGAAGAAATTTACCACTGGATATAGAAAACTTTCTGTATCTTTACTAAGAAAGTTGATGGAACATTATCTTAATTTTGAATCTCTAAAGAATAACTTTTAAAATGCTTCCTGCTTATTAGAAATTCAATTTAGCTTTACAAAGTTCGAAGTACCTTACCAAAAAAGTTTAAATCAGCTACAAAGCACTAAGTCTAAAACTGTAAGGTTGTCCTGAGCAAGTCTATTATTTCCAATTAGATATTGTGAGTTTTGTAATTAATTGTATTTTCCTCTGCATGGCATTTGAGCTAAATTTGTAGCACATCAGTAGCAAGTGTATAAGTATCAAGTGATGAGCCCCATCTAAGTCTATCTCTTAGTTTCTCATGTTTTTCATTTCCCTTAAAATATGTTATTATAAATCACCTTAGATTCTTTCTGGAATAAGATAGGTTCTTAGTAAAACTATAAAAACTTAAGAAAAATTCAATACTTCCTTATGATACTTCTTTAAAAAACTATTAGAAGGCAAAAAATTGTATGCTTTTAGAGCATTCATAACAATAGCGATATTGCCATGTTCATGCCTCATATTTAATATCTTCATAAATGATCAATACCCAATGTGTTATCGTATATACTCGTGTATAAGCTGAGTTTTCAGCGCCTTTTTAATGCATTTTCTTGTAGTAAAATTAGATGCTTCGGCTGATATTCGGGTCGGCTTATACTCGAGTATATATGGTAAGTGAAAAGATCAAAAGTTTTTCAAAAATCTAGTTATGGTGACTCAGAAAAAATAAATTAGAACAAAAGTAGTAGAAACTAATAAGAAACGCTGACAAGTAATATTGTCAGACCATACCAATAACTTCTAAACAGTGTATAACATTTAACTCTAGCTAATTTGATTAAAAGTAAATTATGATCAGTCCCCGGGTTACAAATAAGACCTATGCCAAGATGTGTCTTTCAGTCGAATTTGTAGTAAGTTGGAACAAGTACACATGGTTCTTATTTAATCACATTTACAAGGTCAGGTTTGGAGCCAGCAGTCCTTCCATGGAAGAACGAGGAGGCAGTCCGCTTCTGTAAAGATTTACAGCTTCAAAACCCCTAGGAAGCAGTTCCTATAGGGTAGCTTGCTGTTTGCAGTGTGTTTTGGGTTGTTCCCTGCTAGAAAAGGCTCAAAGCCCTTTCAACAATTTAAAAGCTACATATGCAGAATGTGAAAGAGACCATGATGAATTGATTGCTAGCAGGGGGTAGGTACAATCATTTCAAAGTGAGGGCCCATTTCCATAGCATTGAAAGGCAAGTATGAGCTGTCTGTAAGTCCATCTTTATAACCTGGGGACTGCCTGTAGATTGTTTTTTTAAAAAAAATCAGTAGATTAGTAGTATTTCTTGTGTTACTATGGTCATTCATCTGAGAACTGGCCAAAGCAAGACTGATGAATGAACTATGAAACAAACAGCTTTTATTCCAAGTTGTAGAATAAAAGACCCAAGAAAGCAAAAGTATTTTCTTAATTAACAGAGGAAGTATTTTATTTAATAAAGAGCAAGAATTCTCACAAGAACTTTCTAAGAAGAAAAATCTGCCTACCTAAAAATATCACTAAGCAAGTTCAATTCCATGACCAGTTATTCTCTAATTTTAAAAAATGTATATATATATATCCTTTTCCCTGAAGACCTCACAGAAAGTGAATAAAAGAACTACTAAGTATAACATTATCTGTCTGAAAATCAAGAGCAGTTTCTTGGAAACAGGGTAATATATGTATGTGGGTATACACACAGGCTAAAATGTTTCTGGAAACAATCCTCTCAAATTAATTATAAAAATAAATCAGTAATAAAAGATATCAAATAAAGTGAAAAAAACAAATGAACATGTACTGGGAAAGGAACTTGTGTCCAACATAAGACTTTAAGGCAGGAACACACACACAGCAACTGATGATTAACTAAATATAAGCACTAAATTAAATTCATACATATAAAGGATTCCTTGCCTCGAGAGTACTCACATGCAGCATTCTAGAATGATTTGCAGTTCTTACCTTTATCTTATGTTGTAAGAAATCTTATAGAAAACAATTAATTTAACAAGAAATCTTTTAAAGAACTCTTACTACCCAAACTGGTATCTTTTCAGCTTATGTTGTTTCAATTTCAACTATCAAATGCAGATTAGTTGATATCTTGTACAGAGGAAGTTGAACTAATTTTTACAGATCAATTTATCTTACCCTACCTGAACTAGTACAATTATATTGTATAATAAAACTACTTCCTTTAGAAATACACCCCTTGTTATTTCTGACTACTGGCTCAAGCTGTTACTTGGATAATGGTGTGGGGTGGGGGAAGGGGATCTGAATGTAGCAGATTATCCACTGGTTCTCACTGTAGTCTTCACTCTTTTATGCATCTACTTACCACATTTGAAGGTGGATATACCCCATGAGGCTGAGACTGTGCTTGGACAACAGAAGCTGTATGCCCTGGGACTGTGCCTGTAGAATGTGCCTGTTCATGTTGGGAACCATATGAAACTGTCTGTTGACTGCTCACTCGGGATTCTGTGAAGACAGAAGATCCCTGGCCGCTGTCAACTGTCCCGTCAGCTGAAGAAGAAATGAAGGAAGTTCACATTTTCCTATCACATTTCAGATTAGTTTTTTTCTTTCTATAGATCTGAACTAAACAAAAATGACTGGTAGTCAGTATACTAAGTAGATTTCTATATATAAACAAAGAAATGCATTGAGAAAGTTTTTTTTAATATTTAAAATTCCCTGGCTATTATAGAATCTTATCATGTAAAGGGTTAAGACAGTGGTTCTCAACCTTCCTAATGTTGCGACTCTTTAATACAGTTCCTCATGTTGTGGTGACTCCCCTAACCATAAAATTATTTTTGTTGTTACTTTATAACTGTAATTTTGCTACTATTATTAATTGGGCGACCCCTGTGAAAGGGTCGTTCGACCCCATGAAGGGGTCGTGACCCACAAGTTGAGAAGTGCTGGGATAAGAGAAAATGGAATTTTGTCAGCCTTAATACTGGAAATTTGGATTTGGAAACAGCTTCCAAATTCATACTCTGGAGACCACTGGTTTTCCAGGTAATTCAATCAATAAATAGCAGTATCATTAGTTTTTTCAAAGCCTATAGCAAACTCATCTTTGTTTAAAAAAAAAAAACTGAGCCAGATTAATGGCCTCAATGTCAAGTAATTGTAAGCTATGTACATTGATTTTCCATTATTAATTATAGCTTTAAAATGATATGTTGGAACTTCCAAGATGCTCAAATGTGTTAAATTACTTTATAAACTAATCACATTTTCACATATCCAATTCTTTTTTGTTATAAACATGAAGAATAAAAAAGAAAAGTTAGATGGCACCCCTGTCAAATTTCTTATTGTATCCTTATGTCATCATTTAAAGCCAAGAAGCCAATGCAATATAAGCAGATAAAAAGTCTCTGGAACATCATTAGCGTATTTATGCCGTTCCTGAAATACTTACATAACACAGATATACCAGGTTGCTGATACTGCAGTTGTTGGTGTTGATCTGCCTCAGGTTCTTCAGGTTCCACTTGGGTAGAAACTGAAGCTGAAGTGGTGGAGACAGCAGCTATGCCTGTACTAGTAGTAGGCAGTTGCTTGATTCCTGCTTGGGAAGCACTTGATTGTTGTTCAAGACTGCTCTCTTCTTGCTTTCTTTTTTCTTGTTCCTCCCTCACCAACTGCCGCTGCTCTCGTTTTCTCTTAATTAAAGAAACTCGGTCTTTGATGGCTTTAGCCATAGTCTTGTGATCACCTTCACATACATAACCAGATTCTACCTATAGGGCAAGAGGGTGCATTAGGAAAGCCAAAGAAAAGACAGGGAAAAGAAGAAAAGGTGTGTGTGTGTGGGGGGGGGGGGGGGGGAGACAAAACAAAAAATAGAGAGAATTGAAGAATTCTCCCAGGGTTGGTGTTAAATTGTGGAATATTTAGTCTCTGTTATGCATTTCCTCATTTTCTTTCTAAAGACAGTGATGTGCCTTTGATTTTTAACTATGAACAATTAAATAATGTGGCACCTAAAAATGTACTTTCTACACCAAATAAGACATGCTATTCACTTTATCAAATCATCAATAGGCAGATAAATAATTTTAGTAATTTATATGAAGTTAAACAATAATATAAAAAAATGACTTCTATATCTGGCTCCTTTTCCAGAGGCAACTACTATTGAATGGTTCTTATATATTTTAATAAAGATATTCTATTAATATCTTTGCATAAAGAGCTATATTAGGTACCTTATTAAAATGTGATTCTCCCCCCCACACACACACATTTGAAGTAATATAGCAAAGGCTACCTACTTCAAATCACAACAACTTATGATCCTTTGCCTATTTATTAGGATTTACCCACAGGATGATGAAAGACTCATATACCAATATTTGGGATTCTTCTAAAAAAAAAACCAACCAAACTTATCATTCTAATGGCATATTAAAGTAAGTCAAATACCATACAGATTTTCAAAATGACTTCAGAATAAATTCTAGAGTTCTCTTTTCTTGCCTCCATATCTTTCTGTCTACATAAATCTTCCCATAAAATAAAAATAATTTTTAAAAAACCACTAAAATCAAATACCCAGTATAAAAACAACCATCCCTCCAAAAAAGGTAAAAAAAATTTTTTAAAAGGAGAGATAAATAAAAATCTTAGGGTATCCCACTCATTCAAAGATAACAACAGGTGGGAACATTAATCAACATAATTTTATATCAGTGGGATACACGTAAACAGGGCTTCATAAATATACTTTCATAAACTGAGTTTCTGTCAAACAATCGAATGATTTTTCCATACCAATGTCTATAAAGTTTTCAAATGGCTGATTAGTTTTAATTTACCATTTCTTGAGCAACATCTTCTGGCACATCTCTTTCCAAGTCAAAGGAAAACTCAATAGCTTCATTATCTTTATATTTTCCCTTTAATTTCTTAATATCTTCAATGCGTAGCCATAGTTTTATGGCTATCTTTTCTCCATCATCTTCTTCTGCTAATTCTACCCGTACCCCTGTTTCCTCCTGGAAGAAGGCATGGTTCAAAAGGTCTTTGATTGCATATCTTTCAAAGAGAGGGAAAGGAAAAAGGAAAAAAACAAAACAAAACAAAGCAAAACTCCATTAGACTTAAAAGATGATCTTTCAAGTATGGCTAATTATTGTTTTACTTGAAAGAATGAAAAGTGACCATGATAGGAAAAATAAGGGATGCCTTCAATCAATTTCTACTTTATTTCAATGGTTATTATAGAATTCTATTCTCAAGTTATAAAAAAATAATAACTTAATCTTGTTTATGCTTAAAAGATCTAATAAGTCATTTTAAAACCTCAATGTTTAATCTCATATTAATTATGTAACCATGACAGCAAACTACACATAAATATCATAGTTTAAAAAATACGTTATTTACTTCATAGTTGACAACAAAAATACTTAAATATATAATTTCACCCGATCCAATGAGATGTAATTCCCTGCTTATTAGGAAATGGAGTCTCAAAAAGGTTGAAAATCTTGCTCAGTTATAAGTTATTTGCTTTTTAAATTTCCATCCAATTCACAAGAAAAACATTTCAAAGGGAAAGAAAAGTAACCTCTGGTTTCTAGTGCAGTAATTTCTACTATAGTAACCTTTTTTTTACCCCCGATGAATTCTCTTAAGTTGCTCATTCAACGATTTGTGTGCTAAGCAAAAAGTCTGAGTGTAAAACAATTCAGATAGAAAAGTCTCAAAATACCATAATCTAGCAAACTTTTCCATCCAGAAAATAAACACAGTAATATGTTCTGAGACTGGAAACAAATATTCCTTTGTTTATAGTGAAAACATTTAAAAAAAAAGATTAAGGGCTCAACTTTCCAATCACTGCATATAAAAATGCTTTAAAGATCTTCATGTTAAAGCTCTTCCAAACAACCAAGTTATGAAAGAAGCATGAGACTGGAGAAGTGAAGATATGGGAGTCTTTAATTTATTGATACATTTGAACCCTCACATTCTTCAGGCGGTAGATTATGCTCGATTTACCATTTATATTTGAACTGACTAGTTTACTCTTTCTTTTTTGAGGAGGTGGGGGTGGCGGTTTGGGTAGCAAAGACCGATTATTTTTCAAAAAACAGACTGGATCCTTGCCATGTTTAACTGGTGATGAATCAGCTATATGGCAGATCAGATACTGCCACTCCTCTGAGAAAAGTCCTCTGTTAGTACAAATGACTAAGCCATATCTCCTCCCAAGCCTTAGGCGAAGTCTTCTCTTTTTACGCTAAGGAATTTTGTTGTTTTGCTCTTCCTCAATTCTGGCATAATGACAGCAATTCAAGATCTGTATAGTTCAGTTGATTTTAAAGAGCCAAGATTTCACTTTACCTTGTAGAATTCAGTGAGTAAAGAACTAAGAAACATCTTTTTGTTGGAGAGACTGAACTCTATTGAGTTTTATAAATCATGCTACTGTAATTATATACAAGGGGGCTTCAAAAAGCTTGTGGAAAAGCAGAATTAAAAGATAATGGCAAAAAAAAGGGATAACAGCACTTTTCCATTTACATTTTTAAAGGCCTCTTATAGTTCTTAGCAAATCTATTATGTTTAAAGTAGTTCTGGTTTACTCAAACGCCACTGAACCACATTTTCACAGCATTCCATAATATAAAATCTGAATGACATCAATGAACAAAATTCCTACTTTAAAAAAAATGTCATATGGTATAAAGAGACTAATCACAAGTAAAGTATTACATACATCTTGGATTGATTATTATTGTAATCAAAGCACATTATTATTTTAGGTTTGTGTTTAAGAAACACCCAGGTCAAAAGATGCAATTTACCTTTCATCTTTGTTTTGTCGTATGCATCCTTCAATAATTTCTTTCACTTCGGGAATTGCTACTTTGTCAAAACTGGCAGGCTTCACCCCCTGAAAGCCACAAGAATAGGAACAGAAACATTAATGAAGGCACGACCTTGGAATTTAATTTTTCATCTCCTCCCATCCTTCTACTAGGGTGCTTTCTTACCATCCTGGCTTTTCTCTGACTTGCCTGCAGAACCTGGCTCATGCAGGGTCAGAGCTGAGCAGTGGGAATTTGCACAAGAAAACAGCAAAGAACAATTAGGTAGTGGGGTCACTTACTTCCATGGCTTCTATATGTGGCTATGGAAAAATTCACGCTGGTATTAACATCTGTGGCTGTTTCAGGAAAGGAAGTTATTGGCTAACAAGAATGCCAAATGTTCTAATTGGTTAGAACATCTTTTGTTCAGGCAGGCTTACTCACACATTAATCAACATAGCATTTAACTTATTTTGAACAGTTAACCCACATGTGGCATGAATCCATGGCTCAGTATTTTTGGCAAGTTTTGTATTGTTACAGTATTCATTAAGGAACTCCGAAAGTATGGAAGAAGTTAAAGATTTAGGCTAATTTGGCATAGTAACTGAAAGATTTCATTGTTTTTGAATACTGAACATAAATTAAAGCGACAGATCAGACTCATAAAAAAAACTCTCCAATTTCAGAAGAAAACAACACTAAATATAATTGGGAGCATCTTATTTATTACAAGGATATAGTTTAGAATCAAGGATATAGTGTATAGAGTCCTTTAAAATATTTCCAACCATGTGTGGACAATATACACGAGATGTAAGAAAAGCAAATGCCACTGAGAGGTGGAGATGGAGAAAAAGATCACTTATTATCTATTCTCACTTCATCTACGTGACCATATGGATTGAAGTTGAAGTAGCTACATCAATATGATGCCAAGTGGCACCATACGTCTATAAACAGATAAACCACAGTAAGCAAGAATCAGAGAAATGATTATATAAGTTACTGAACACACATATAAATTCTAATTTCTGAGTAATAGCAAAAAGGATCACCTATTGTGTTTGCTGAAATCTTACTGTTTTCAAATCCAGCTACATTTTTCCATCATGCCTGGTCTTCACATAATAATCTTACATTTTAAAAAATTGACACAGAAATTCATTTAGTTGAGCAAACTAGTTGATGCTTTAAATCCAGCCTTAAGAAATTACTGCTTTAAGAAGGGGAGGCGTGGGGAGGATGACACACACTAAAAGTTCTCTGGTAGTCGAAAAAACTGAAAGTTTTTAATCTGTTTTTCAGTTTTCTATCATAAACATAAAAAACTTACAATGGAAAGAACTATCTAAAATACTATGTATTAAAACATTCACCACTGCTAGAAATTTTGAAAGGCTCTTCCTTAGTATAATTGAATATTCACACATAATTGGCCTTTGTTCGAAAAGATATGCTGAAGAAAGAGTGTTCTTCCCACAAGCACATCAATCTTATAGGAATATGGTTTACTGCAATAAAAATCAACATAAGTTAATACAGCAGACACTGGCTATGTTTTAAACTTTTTCTGATTTGATATAGAATTAGAAAGCTGAAAGGAATTAACGGACAACTTGAATTCCATGTGAAATGCACAAGTAGAAGCAGTTCCAAGGTTCAGATTCCTTGCTGGAAGATGAGGATTTTAAATATAAATACTTGCTCAACTCACCTACCTAGATGCAGGCCACATGGAATAAAATATGATACCTAGGTTGTTAATTATTAAATTAGCTGACCTAAGGCCATCTTTGAGCTCAATGGAAATCACTAAAAAGAATAAAACACAGGGCTAAAATGGTCAGCAGGTAGTACAAATAGTTAAGTACTTGACTATTAGCTGAAAGGTTGGTGATTTGAACATATCCAGAAGTGCCTCAAAAGATGCGCCTCAAGATCTGCTGAAAGATCAGAGCTTTAAAAACTCTGCACACATGATTACCATGAGTTGGAATCAATCTGAGGGCAACTAATAACAAAAACAAGAGGACTAACACTAAATGAAGAATTCTCTTGAAAAACAATCACCAAGATCCTTCTTCCAAGACAATCTGTCAATCCTAAATTAATGCAATTTACTTTTTATCCTTAGTAATAAACAATCAACCTTCTTTATACTCTACAAATAGAAATACAAACTGAAATAAGAGATATAAAAGGGCATGACAGCAAAACCATTAACTGTGCCTTATATAAAGCCCCGGTTGTGTAGTAGTTAGTTACATGTTAGGCTGCTAACCCTGAGGTAAGCAGTTTGAAACCACCAGTGCTCTACAGGATAAAGACTAGGGTATCAACTCCTGTAAAGAGTTAGTTTCAGAAACTACAGGGGCAGTTTTACCCAGTCCTATAAGGCATTGTGAGTCTCCCAAATGGACTCAATGGTAGTGAAATTGTTTTGGTTTTTTTTTTAATGTAAACCTCAAATCTACTAGATTCTATTCTATAGCCAAGATGTAGGTATAGAAAATTCTAGCCCAATGCTACATAGCACATTCAGTTGTTACTGCTACTTAAAAAAAAAAAAAAAAAGTATTGTGGGTGCCAAAAGTAGCCAATAAAATTGAGACACACCTGACCAGTCTAGCAGCTGGTATTAAAAGATTAAAACGACTTAGTGCTACCCACATAGATACCAAATAATTTCAAGAGCCAAAATGTAACATAAAGAGTTTCACCTATCAGTCATCATCAGTAAGTCAGGCTTATCAAAATATCTAACCAGGTATTCTGAATCATTTAAAAAGAAGCAAACATATGTTGGGAATATAAAAAAGATGACTAAGTATGTAGGGGATGACCTTGAAAACAACCTACAGAAAAGTCACCTGGGACAGAAATAAAAAGCTGTTTTGAATGAATACAATTACACACACACACACACACACACATTCAGCATACCAATACGATCCTATTCTAAAGAGATGAGAAACTCATGCTTTAAAAAAATAGATAAAAATTGACCCAAGAGGAAAGCGAATTTTGAGAATGAGACAACAAATGTATAAGTGTGCTTTACACAATTGATGTATGTATTGTGATGAATTGTATGAGCTCCAATAAAATGATTAAAAAAAACCCCTCAGGTTAACAAAAAAAAATTGTTTTACGTTATCTTAAAAAATAACTTCAAGTACCAGACTAATAAGGAAGGCTAAGAAAATGTTTTAATGATAAACAGTTTAATTAGGGTATATCTCAGAGGTGTTATGTCATTGGAGGTCACTTGAAATTGTATTATATGGTTTCTTTGTTTAGGATGAAACAAAAACCCAGGGTTGATGAACTTATAGGGACAGCAAGTAGAATACGGGGTGGGGTGTGTGTGTGTGTGCAGTGATGATGTTGAGGTAAAAGGGAAACAGTGTCAAGAAGTCCAGGAAGAAAAATGATGTTTGGAAACTTGTAGCAATTGTAAAATTTTGTTTGATGTGATTGAACTATGGAATGAAAAATTAACTCTCAATTAATAATGAATTTTTAAAAAAGGTAAACAATTTCAACTTATTTTAGAGCATTTACTTGTGGACTTGAAGTTGATCATCTTCTCAGTTAAAGTCCACTGATCCTCCTAATGTGATTGTATCACCCCTTTTCTTTTACTCTCTGACCTAGCCACACCAGGTCTTATTCTGACCAGTTAAAACAATGTATTCTGAATAAGACCAAAAAATAACAGCCCCCCCCCCCCAAAATACTGCAGTACATAGAACAAAACTATTTAGTTAAGGAAATACAACTTTCTTATTCTACTCCTCCAGTAAGCAGCATCCACTGGCTCTAGAAATCCAGGATTTCCCACAGCAACAGCCTTAGATTACATTTTTGACAGAGGGCAGTAGCACATTTCTCAGCATTAAACAATGAATTTTTGAATATAATGTATGAGCCCTGGTGGTATACTGGTTATACATTGGGCTGCTAAACTAAAAGGTCAGCAGTTCAAAACCACCAACTCCTTCGAGGGGGAAAGATTGGCTTTCCACTCCTGTACAGAGTTACAGTTTCAGAAACCCACAAGGGCTATTCTGCCCTGCCCCATCAGGTCACCACAAGTCAGAATTGACTAAATGGCAGTGAGTTTTAATGTATGAGGGGGTTTTAAAAAGTTCATGGGGGGAAAAACAAAGTTCATACATAAAATTTCATTATTATTATTTTTTAAATGAACTTTTAAAAGCACCCCATAACTTACTTACACTATTTGGGGTTTATATGAAATAGCGTTTTCTCATAAACAAAAACAAAGGCCACTTGTGCACAATCTTAAAACGGTATGTAAAAAAATTTTTTTTAAACAATTGACTTTCTAAGTACATCAAAAATTGCCATTAAAGTAAATTTTGTTGTCTACAAAAACAAAACAAAAACACACATAAACACATTTTACAGATTAGGTGTTTTCTTTTGAGTCTATGCATGCATGTTCTGCTCAGTATAGATTCATCTAAGTAACCTGCTGGCAAAATAAGAGTGAAGCAAAATATGGAATTCTCTAGTTCAATCACCCCGCACTTATAGAGTATTTGCATCTGCTCCTTTTACTTAAATGAACTAGGGTAACCTATAACTATCTCTGGAAGAAAGTGTTATTTTTCTGTACCACTCAGAACTGAGAAAAGCCTCCCACCACTTTCTTACATAGATTATAGCATGAGAAATTTCCCCAAATAATTTCTCCTTTCTATTAAATGTTTTTGAACATTTTATGCAAATAAAATAACTCCCTTCATCACCACCACCAAAAAAACCCAAAACCAACTAAGTCAACTAAACTACAGAACTCTGAATATTTTTAAAGCATTCTGAAGTCAACTCCTCTAGTATATTAAAGCATTCTAGAAGTATCACAAAATGGCAACAATAAATCCTTTGTTTATATGCAAATTGCTTACATACCTCATTTACACCATCCTTTTGAGGACAACAGCAACAATGAGAATTTACAATGACAAATACTGAGCAAAAATCTTTCTTTGTAAAATCCATCAGAAAAGGCAAGATAGACTTGTTACAGATAAGAGAAAAATAAAGAGGA